CGACACGGATCATCAATGTCTATTCATTAAAATCAATGGTGGTAGTAAAGTAGAACTAAAAGTAGTTTTGATGATAATGATATTAGAAATTAATTTCTTCCTTTTTCGCCATAATAGATACAAAGTAAAAAAAACCTGTGCCTATGTATTTGTGTTTAAATGCGAGAAATATATGCATTTGAAAGCACATGTACACACTGGCGTACTGGTGGGGGGGGGGGGGGCTTGGGGGCGCCAGTCCCCCCCCCCCCCCCAATAAAATTGAACCATGACCAAGTAAAGAAAGAGAAGAGAAGAAAGAAGGAAAAAAAAGAGGAAGGAGAGGAAAGAAAGGAAAAGAAAGAAAAGAAAGAAAAGGAGAAAGAAAAAAAAAGGAGAAAGAAAAAAAAGGAGAAAAAGGAAACATAAGAAAACAAACAAAACAAAACAAGACAAACGAAAGAGAGGAGAGAGAGAGATAGAGAGGGGGTGGTATTAAGAGCCTAAGAGAAGATGGGTGGGAGTAAGAGAGCAAAGGGAATGTTGGGTGGAGTCGCCACGTCGAAGGGGCAAGAAAGATACGCATAGATAATTATGTTGCTGTGTCGGGTCCGCTGTGTCGGTATTCTTGCTCTATCTAGCTCGTGTACTATATCAATTTAGAAGTTTGAAGTCGGTGAGATGTTTACATACCTGCCAACATTTGAAAATGAGAATTAAGAATTTTTAGCGCGGTATGTCTTCGAAAATAAGAAATCTGTACACTTAACAGGCGTTAGCACATGCAGCGGCAGTTTTTAATCATGCAGCCCTTCAACCCACGCAATACGTGAACTCTAACATCGCGTCAAAGGATAAAACAAGCTTAATTTGGCTTAAGCAACACCAACACCAACACAAAAAACAAAACAAAAAAAAAAAAAAAAAAAAAAATCGAAATTTTGAGAAAAAAAACAGAATATTCCGGATTTTGGGGTCCTAAAAATCCAGAAAATGGAATATTCCGGATTATTCGGAAGGGTTGGCAGGTACGCTGAATTCAATTCGGTGTAGCGATTGTCCAACACAGCTCAGTTACGGCAACATTTGACATGCATCGATCAAACTATACACAGTACATGTACGGTACGCCTCGCCATCGCTGCCCCACTCCACTGGCACCGACTCACCTCCGGTACCGCACTGCAGCGTGCGTTCACTCTGTATACCATAGTCCCGACACACTTCTTCCAAATACTGGATTAGACAATTGAAAAGTTAGTACGGTACGGTAAACTCCATGAATCCATCAAGCAAGCGTATTCCTTGGGATTGGAAGACATTATAAGTAAAACTGACAAACTTTTTGCAAGTTTAGTAACCATTCACGATCACACGTCGAAGCTAACCCGTTCGCTCAAAATTTATCGCTGGTGAAGTGTGCATGTTCTTGTACATCGCTTGTATTGGTGTGTGTGTGTGTGTACGTGTATGGAGAGTACATGCCAGGCCAGACGCTACACACAAACACATAATGCTGATCTCTACGCTGTAGATCAGTGGCACAAATACGCTGCAAAATCGTCATTACAAGCCAAATGAGCTTCCGCGGCCATCAACACACACACAGTATACTATACGAGAGCTCTCGCACAAATCGCGGCAAATGGTAATACAAGCCCAATTTGGCTTAAATTTCCAAAATGCGGAATCTCCCGCATTTTAAGGTCCTAAAATTCCAGAAATGCGGAATATCCCGGAAAATGCGGGAGGGTTGGCAGGTATGTGTTTAATGTCGGTCGGCCGGCAATTTTTTTTCTCCCTACAAACTGTGACTTTTTATCGGACAAAGAAAAAATTAATTCAGACAATTTCTCTGATAATTTAATGAAACGTCAAAGCTTCCGCGCATCGCGCGGGAGGGAGGGAAACTGAATTCAGACAAAGTGAGTGGAAATCAGTACAACGAATCGTCTTCTTTCTCTAATAATTTAATTAAACTTCAAAGCTCTCGCGCTTGGCGCGGGAGGGCGAAAACTGAATTCAGACAAGGATTAAGTGTCGAAAACAATACAACGAATCGTCTTCTTTCCCTAATAATTTAATGACACTACAAAGCTTACGCGCTACGCGCGGGAGGGGAAAACTCTATTCAGACAAGGATTAAGAGTAAAAATTTAAGGAAACGCATCGTATATTTTCCAAATAATTTACTGAAATGTGAAAGCAAGGATTAATAGTAGAAATCAGTACCACAAATCGTCTTCATTCTCTTATAATTTAATGAAACACCGAAAGCTTCCGCGCTTCGCGCGGGAGGGGGGGGGGGGGGGTGGGGGAAACTGAATTCAGACAAAGATTAAGAATAAAAAAAATCATTTAAAGAATCGTCTTCTTTCTCTAATAATCTAATGATATGTCAAAGCTTCCGCGCTTTTCGCGGGAGGGAGGACACTGAATTCGGACAAGGATTGTAAGTCGAAAACAGTACAACGAATCGACCTCTTTCTCTAATAATTTAATGAAACGTAAAAGCTTCCCCGCTAAGCGCGGGATGGGCGAAAATGAATTCAGGCAAGGATTAAGAGTCGAGAACGGTACAATGAATCGTCTTCTTTCTCTAATAAATAAATGAAACGTCATAGCTTCCGCGCTTCGCGCGGGAGGGGCGAAACAAGAATAAAAAGTCTAGAACGGTACAACGGATCGTATTCTTTTTCTAATAATTTAATGAAGTATCAAACCTTCCGCGCGCGGGAGGGGGAAAACTGAAAAAATAACTTAGTTCCTGGCCCCGGGTTTACAGGGTTAAATTTGTAGACATTGGGACATTGGCATTAATATATTTGTCGGTAATTGGTGGCTCGTTTTGAAGGTAATCGGTGGCCTCTCCCCCTCCCCCACTGAAAAAGATCTAGCAACGCCCCTCATAACAACACAGTTTATACACTCGATATAATTTTTAGTACAACTGGTACCGGACCACCGTCTTTGTGCATTGTGCGGCAACGAACCTAATACAACGTCTCATTTCCAGGAAGTGCCGGTGGACTATTATTGCGCAAAATGTGGTTCTCACATTGTAAAAGATTCCTACTCTTGGAGGGGGTAGGAGAAAGCAATTTTATGTCATTTTACTCCAGGAAGTGCCTGAAAAGGCGTCTAATGTGGTTCTGAAATCGCAAATGTTTCCTACTCTGGGAGGGGGTCAAAACCCCCTCCCAGACCCATCCCCGCTTGGTCGTTCCCCTATCCGCTAAAGCCTCGCTCGGTCGCTTCATCAGGTTTTACATATATTTCACCCCATGCCACCCCCCGTAAGAAACTCCTGGATCCACCACTGGTGCCCATACCCATTGAGCTTCGGGGGCTCCGCCCCCTGACCCCCTGATGGGGCTTTGCCCCTAGACCCCACTTTGAAAAACGTTCAGCGGGGCCTGCATGTTAGAGTGGGGTGATGCGGATTTTTTTTTTGCCAGCCCCCCCCCCCAAACGTTTTTGCTCATTACGCCACTGCATGTACACATATTACACATAGGCCTATTATAGATCACCACCGTTAACTACCAAAAAAGTAAATAGTTATAATTATCATGCTGCTGATGGTAATGGTATTAATAATAATAATAATGATTGTGATAGATAATAATGTTGAAGGTGGTAATTTTAACCTGACTGCTAAGAAAGCATAAATGCTTGTAAGTAAGCAACCAGACGGCCGACGGCTTTAGGTCCTCTCCGAGGGACCTGGTAATGAGGATTAATGCCTTACCAAAGGGCACTAGCGCTCCGACTTGGTTTCGAACCCGGGTCACCGGATTACGAAACCACTGCTCTACCGATTGAGCTATCGCGCCTCCGTGATAATGAAGACACGTATACTAGTAATAGTAATAATATTAAAGAGAAACCAACCCATGTTATACGTATGAAAGCGGAATATAAAAGAAACAAAATTTGCGAAAGTTTGAAATAAAAAAAATAAAAAGTATATGTATGTTATCCTAAACTAAGGGCATGTGTTAATATGAATTAAAAAAGAAAAGACCCTCCTGACAGTCCTGAGTCAAACATTTTGAGAAAATAAAATAAAATTTGAGTCATGTTGTGCAATTGACTTCATCACAGTGACACTGCCGATTCAGTCGATGTGAAGTGCCTTTACCTAAGGTGTTAATAACTTTCATCAATACATAGTTTTATCATTTTTTGTCCATTTTCTTTCAAGGTGAGACTTCTATGCTTCTCTGATTTGTTCTGCTTTGTTTTAGAGTAGTTTACTATTTAACTTGGATTTTCCTTTAACATACATTGTTGTTCGTTATCTCTTTCCATGAAAGGAATGTGACAATACGAGTTATTCTTGGTAGATCTTTATGGCTTTTTGTTATCAATACAGTTCTTAAAAGATCTCCCAAGAATACATAATAATTGTTAGAATCATCTTATGAAAAGAGCTGAGAAATGTTATTTCTACTTCATGGGCCACAATGAATATCTTCTTATAATTATTTTCATTATTACCCTTGCTATTGTGACCGTGATGATGATGATTATCATGATTGTCATTATTATTGTTATTATAATGATAATAGTAGTATTTTTCCTCATGTTTTTTGTTTTGTATTATTACTGTCCATTTTTTGTTCTTCTCCTTTTTTTTCTCCAGCGTTAAATAATCTTTGCTCTGTGTATTTTTATAATGCGGCGAATAAAGAAGAAAATAATAATACTATTGTCGTTGCATTTACCACTACCACCACTACTACTACTACTTCTACTACCACTATTATTACTACTAATTTTGTTTCTATTACTACCTACTACCACAACTACTTCTACTTCGACTAATACTACTACTATTACTGCTACTATTACTATTACTACTACTTATACTACTATTGATATTACTATTACATGTACCATTATTAATAATACTTCCAATACTTATATTACTACTACTCTACTACTACGACGACTACTACTACTACTACTACTACCACTATTACCACTAAAACTACTTCTATAATTCGTATGTATAGATCATGTAGCCTTGCCAAGTCTGTCTAATCAGCCTGAAGTATGGGGTGTCACCACATCGTCCATCTGGGTAGGATGGTATAGCGATCACGATGGCGATGGACCGGTATGCGGACACAATATATATCTTCAATATCCTGCATCCACATCGTGGTCGAGTGTCGGCTTCGTTCCCGCTGATGAGACGAACGACTACCAATTCACGATCGATCGACTCGATGCTGGCACCCTCTACGGTATAAGTGTTAGAATTCTGCATTGCTCTGGGAGAGAAGGAGAAAGGAATCAATTATATCAGGCAACAAATGATTATGGTGAGTTCAATATCCTTGCATGCAGACCAGTTCGTAGATAGCATGATGGGGAGTCCTATGTCTGCGCACCTGACATGTTTATGTTGTATTCCCTTGAAGCGTGATCTCATATTGTAGTTGGTTTTTCCATTGATATGCCTATGGCCTTTTGCAAATCCAACTTTATTTGATTATTTTTTGGTGTTTTATATATGTACTTGTTTTTTCTCGTTTAAAGGTAAATTCGTTTTGCAGTCGATGTTAAATTCTGTAGATCGCCTTGCAGGAATTATGAATGTGTCCCGTATATCCTATCTGTGAAATTTAAACGTTAGCACTGTCCTAGTATTCAGATTATGCAATGAAACCCGTTTACTTTCTGTCAGACACTATTGAGTGACTGACTAACGTTTTTGTGCTTTGGTAATAACATACATAACATGAGCTGTAAAGGGTACATGGGCATTTGTCTACATCAGTAACCTACTTCTTGTAATGGCCAAAATTATACTGATTAAATTTCTGCGCAGCACAAAACGTACGACCTTTCGGTAAAAGGGTCCGAAAACTAGATTATTTAATTAAACAAGCGCACACACACACAAATGTCCCACACAAATACATTTTCAAGCGTTTTCTTTAGAGTGAAGTTCTGAATTAGTATTATCTTCCGATTGCCTTTAGAATGTAACCTTTTCATTTTGTTGGCCTGTAAATGGGACATAGTACCTGTAATGCAAATATGAATTGATATAAACAGGGGGTATCAATACAAAAATGATCCAACTTTGGTAGTTCGTAATTATTGAAAAGTCATAACCAATTTGACTTTTGAATTTCCTTTATGATGGAGAGTAACTTAGTTCCTGCACAATATACCAATTCATAATAATTTCTGCCACGGGTGAATGAGCACCAGGGGCTTTAAAGAGTAGTCAAAATCGCCTTGTTCCAAGTATGGGCTTTAGGCCGGGACCAATGTAGGTCAGGCCACATGCATGCACTTATTTTGTCTTAAATCCTTTTTAAAAGTTAAATTGTGCCTCGTGCTTTATAGTGCTTCATTGTTTCTGAAATGATGCATTGTAGTTAGACTTTTACAGAAACTTGTTTCAATCGACAGGATAACCTTTAATTATTTGCAAAAGCCTACTAGCTTCTTGTCTCATGATATCTAAGTTCTCTCTGCTCACTGCTCACTGAACCATTTCACACTCGTGAGTAGCATGAGGTGTTCTATCTCGAATAGCGATTGAGAACTCAAAGGTTACTAAACCCAAATGCAATAAAGAACATTTATGATGATAAATATCAAAGAAATCGACAACAGACTTTCATAAATAGGGTAACATCCCTGATAAACGTAATCAATTTTGTATCACTCAATAAAGTAGGCAATATTGTAATCATAACCAAGAGAAAATCATTTTTTTTTTGCTTGTAATAAGCATTTCTTTGAGTTTGAGTTGATTTACACACTTCTTTATTTCAACTATCTAATAGTCAATTAAAAAAAAAGAAGCAATTCTTTTGGAATGAGTGGCTTTTGAACCACAAGTGCTTCAGCCCAAACTGGGCAAAAGAGGATTTTGACAATACTTTTTTAAAAGTCTGCTTTTCAGTCATCATTGGCAGGCAGCACAACTATGAAAATGGTATATTTAGACAGGGTATTAGTTCTTCTTTACAATATAATATGATTGAAGGTCACATAGATAATAACCTTTTAAGTAGAAGCTATACAAGTTGGGTAAACTTTTGTTTTGATACGCACTGTATATACACACAAACATACAGAAAAGGGAATTCGAACGGACATTTAATACGTAATTTCAATTTCAATTTTATCTACCGTCAGTTCTACCTAGATTGTTCCATCCGCCAAACGTGAAATCCATTGGAACGTCCTACGCAGTAGTGCGATGGCAAGAACAACATACCGGTGATGGGCCCATATGTGCCTATGCAATTGATAGGAGGAGCCTCGACGAAGATGTCCCATCGTGGTTGTCGGTTGGTTTTGTGTCTGAGCAACCAGGATCCCAGTCCAGAGAAGAGCTTGTATTTAACTTAACTGACCTGGAACCCGAGACAGACTATCATGTCTCAGTGAGACCTATCCTTTGCGATAGGGCAAGGATCTCTGAACTTGGCAAGGGGCCGATACTTTCTCTAACAACGCCCTCCATTGGTGAGTCTTACAACTGTTCGTAGATCTGGTTCGAGTCCTTCGATCGTAGCACATCTGATGTGTAGGCATGTAACTTTAGTCCAACGCTGTATATATCAATTCCAGTCTTAGAATCATTATCATAATCATTATTATCCTTTTCTGAATTATTATTATCGGTATTATTATGAGTAATAGTGGATTTTTTTTGTTAAATGCATTAACAATAGGTCACTATACAAGCAACTTCTGTCGGAGCGACATTGGATTTGAAAACCATATAAACAGTACTGAAGCGTGTCAAAATCTCAATCATATTGCTCCGTTTAGTCTCATTTCACAACGCCCCCTATCGTCAGAGTCAGCAGCCTAACATGTTAGCCTATGGAATGTTACCCCAAAATCGTTACAAATTCATTTTTTGTTTAGACGAAAAGCACATCCACCCGACATACGTTATCACTAGCTCTTTCATTGGAACCCCCATGTCCCATTGACTTTTGAATGTTCACCCACCGTCATTTTCTAAAAATAAGTTGCAAGCTCGTCATTGCCTATAATATACATGTGAAACAAGTCGAACTTTAGACTCAGTGTGCCAAGCGATTTGAATTTTATAGGTCAAGCACACGAAGGATAAGAAGCATGAATTATCATAGATCCCTTCTGCTTGGTTCATTTAGCCCATTTCATCCAACCCCCACCGTCATTTTTCCATTTAGTAAAAGCAAACATTTTGCCGAGGTAAGCAAAAACATGAATTTTCATGAACGGTCAGACAATACAGCCTTTTAGTACGTAACATATAGTGAATGGGAATGGGCGATGATCGATCCGTCTAGGAGGTAGAGTTCAGTGGTTTGTGCTGGCAATGTTCCAGCGAGCGAAAATGAGACAACCGGAGCCATATGTTTATCAAGTTGTTTAACGTTAATTTCGATAGTTCTACCAACCTTGATGGAAGCTCCCGAAAGTACAAACCTGTCCTCTAAAAACGTGTCCATCCGATGGACCAATCAACATCAAGGAGACGGGCCAATCTGTGGTTACGGAATCAACATCAAGACCAACGACGACAAAGACCGTGAAGATGATGATGACCCTTGGCGCAGCGTCGGGTACGTGTCGATGGAGAGCGAGCTACTGTACGATGTTGGTCATCTAGAGGAAAATACCACGTACCAAGTTGCAGTTTCTCCGATCAACTGCATATCTGCTCGTGAAGGTCCACGGGAACCAATATTGCAGTTCACCACCAAGACTGTGACAGTTCCTGTGGTCGGTACGTTCAGCTTTCAATGCATGTCTTTTTAAAATGTTAAACAAAAGTGGTGGCAACAATTTTCGAAAAAAATCTAGGTAAAGCAATTTCAGATTTTCAGTAGCACTGCGTGTCACCTTTTGAAATATGCAAACATTACAGTAGTGAATTACGTATTTCAAACATGATTCATATTAGATATACAAGAGTATATTGAAATTGCCCTTGAAAGTTCAAAGTAGTTGCCAATTGTGTTAAAACCAGAGAGTACTATTAATAAGAGAGTGCCAACTCGCTAAACAAGGCACACAAGCACATTTTTAGCATAAACGTATACGTATTTGATGAGATTTAGGAGGTCCAGGGTGTGGACTTAATACGTTTTTTAATTTCCTACTTAATTTCTTTACTGCTTGCTTACACAGTTGAACATAAAGTGTATTATCGTGGCATATCGCACTACAACAAAAGATTACGTTCCAAAGCAAACGATAGGTTGATCCAAAAAAATTGCTTAATTTTTCTATAAAATGTTACTTACTGTATTCCTTCTACTTTGCTCATCCTCTGACATGCAAAACACCCTGAACAAATTCTCAAACCACGAAGCTATCTATGGTTTTCTCTGAAGGCGTCGATGTACGACACCCTCTAACAGTGATGAACAGTAAATTCTCTCAACCATTTTTGAATTTTCCCAACCGTTTTTCCATGAAAAAAGACATAAAACAGGCTATAGAAAATCTGTCAACACTTAAATGTCTGAAATGGAATGTAAAGCCATTTTATTGCTTTGTGAGATTTTCATTCACCTAAAATGTAATTAAATTGTATTAATATAGTTGAGAGAATTAAGGAATCGATCAGATCAGTTTTTCCTAATTTGTACCATGAATAATGGTCCGTTTTCACTTAAATTTTCAGAATATCGTTAATTGTACATCTAGCATTGAAGTCACTACCTTAGCACCAATATCTCTCATCTGAACAATGTTACCAAGTCCCTTTAAATACTTCATTTCAATTTCAATTTTGTGTACCGTCAGTTCTACCTAGTTTGTCCCATCCGCCTAACACGACAGCCATTGGAACGTCCTACGCAGTAGTCCAGTGGCAGGAGCAACATACGGGCGATGGACCAATATGTGCCTATACAATTGACAGGAGGAGCCTTGACGAAGATATCACATCGTGGTTGTCGGTTGGTTTTGTGTCTGAGCAACCAGGATCCCAGTCCAGAGAAGAACTTATATTCAACATAACTGGCCTGGAACCCGAGACAGACTATCATGTCTCAGTGAGACCTATCCTTTGCGATGGGGCAAGGATCTCTGAACTTAGCGAGGGGCCGATACTTTCTCTAACAACGCCCTCCATTGGTGAGTCTTTCAACTATTTGTAGATTTGGTTCAAGTCCTTCGATCGTAGCACATCTGATTTTTAGGCATGTAACTTTAATTAGTCCAATCAATTCCAGTCATAGAATCATTATCATAATCATTATTATCATTTCCAGAAATATTATTATCGGTATTATTATGAGTAATAGTGGAATTTATTGTTAAATGCATTACGATAGGTCACTATACAAGCAACTTTTATCGGAGCGACATTGGATTTGAAAGCCATATAAACAGTACTGAAGCGTGTCAAAATCTCAATCATATTGCTCCGTTTAGTCTCATTTCACAACGCCCCCTATCGTCAGAGTCAGCAGCCTAACATGTTAGCCTATGGAATGTTACCCCCAAATCGTTAAAAATTCATTTTTTGTTTAGACGAAAAGCACATCCACCCGACATACGTTATCACTAGCTCTTTCATTGGAACCCCCATGTCCCATTGACTTTTGAAAGTTCACCCACCGTCATTTTATAAAAATATGTTGCAAGCTCGTCATTGCCTATAATACACATGTGAAACAAGTCGAACTTTAGACTCAGTTTGCCAAGCGATTTGAATATTATAGGTCAAGCACACGAAGGATAAGAAGCATGAATTATCATAGATCCCTTCTGCTTGGTTCATTTAGTCCTTTTCATCCAACCCCCCCCCCCCCCCACCGTCATTTTTCCATTTAGTAAAAGCTAACATTTTGCCGAGGTAAGCAAAAACATGAATATTCATGAACGGTCAGACAATACAGCCTTTTAGTACGTAACATATAGTGAATGGGAATGGGCGATGACCCGTCTAGGAGGTAGAGGTCAGTGGTTTATGCTGGCAATGTTCCAGCGAGCGAAAATGAGACAACCGGAGCCATATGTTTATCAAGTTGTTTAACGTTAATTTCGATAGTTCTACCAACCTTGATGGAAGCTCCCGAAAGTACAAACCTGTCCTCTAAAAACGTGTCCATCCGATGGACCAATCAACATCAAGGGGACGGGCCAATCTGTGGTTATGGAATCAACATCAAGAACAACGACGACAAAGACCGTGAAGATGATGATGATGACCCTTGGCGCAGCGTCGGGTACGTGTCGGTGGAGAGCGAGCTACTGTACGATGTTGGTCATCTAGAGGAGAATACCCCTTACCAAGTTGCAGTTTCTCCGATTAATTGCATATCTGCTCGTGAAGGTCCACGGGAACCAATATTGCAGTTCACCACCAAGACTGTGACAGTTCCTGTAGTCGGTACGTTCAGCTTTCAAAGCATGTCTTTAAAACAGAAATTATTGCAATTACTTTCGAAAAATCAACGTCAAGCAATTTCCGTAGACCTGCGTCTCACTTTCTGAAATGTGCAAACATTGCAGTGGTGCATTACGTAGTAAAGACCGTCAATACTACTGGGCCAGAAGGGATTAGACCACACAGCGAGGTCACTGACAGGTGGCTATCTCATTAACTCAGCTCTCAACTAACATAAGAAAAAGAGGATCATGGGGGACCAACGGGCACCGATTGGGGAAGTTTTCTATATAGAGGGAGCAAGTAGCTACAAGTAGGACAATGTGGCTTTAAATCCAAACATACGTATTAAATTCAAACATGATTCATATTGGATATATACAAGAGTATATTGAAATTGCCCATGAAAGTTCAAAAGTAGTTTTGTCACTGATTTTTGTCATTTGTCTTTGATATAAGGCTTTGTGAAACAGGTCCCTGGCCCTTACTTGCGGAAACAAGGGGCTCGGTTGTTGTCAGGGGTTATTATTTAACTACCGGAATGTTGTCTGATCATGTGTTGTTCGTAAAACACAAACCCCTGACATAATGTATAGAAAGCAATTTCCGTGATCATTCCTTTTTCTGGATCCGGCTATGTGCATGACTTTGTTTATCATTATCATTTCTATCAGAAGTACTGACCACAGAACCATTGATCACCGAACCACAGAAGACAGAGCCAAAACGTGTTCCAATATCAGGTGCATCGATCTGCCCAGAGCATAATTGTACCGTCGTAGTAGTACTGCTTATTTTGGGGTGAGTTTTATATACGCTTGTTCGTAGATTCAATCTGCGCATGGGCAGATCAAGGTCAATAATTGTACCAACATTGTAAAACCCACCGATATGAATATTGGATACGTGCTCGTGGAATACAGATGGACGTATTCGACTGATGAGGGCAAAGAAAAGGTATTCACGATGCCCATCCGTGACTTTGGCAGTGATTATTCTAAAATGCTCGAAATGGGACTTCTCCATGTGTAAAAGATCTATGGACATTTGGTGTCATTTGTACTACTTGCTAACTACGAACTGGTCTCTTTTTTGTGTTGTTTAGTTTCATTTGTTTACACACAATAAGAATACCTTAAAGACTGCCGTACAAAACTCAAGTTCGTTAAACCAAAGCCAAAGGGTACAATAATGACACAAATATTAACGAATACAAAAAAAAAAGAAATTAAATAATCTAAAAGCGATTAGACAATTTAAGAGAAACAGAGAGAAATGAGAACAATAAATCAGGTTTTAAGATTGGTGACCAGCCATCAGCAGCAGATATCATCATTATTATTATTATTAGTAGTAGTAGTAGTAGTAGAGTAGTAGTAGTGATCATGGAATAGCGGCGGATCCATGGGGTCGAATCGGCTACGCCCCCAGGCTCTTTTCGACAGTCTCCCAAATAGGGAAAAAGGATAAAATAGAGAGTGATGGAAGAAGGATTGTCGGCCAAGTAGAAGTAGAATTTGTCGAAACATCAGCTTGCAGGAGCGCCAGCAGCACCAGGGTATAAAAATTGGTAGGCTAGCTGCCATTTAAAACATCCGCAAATAAAAATGATTCCGGTCCATATAGTTACCATTTACATATCTTCATTTCAATTTGATAACAAAACGTCGCTCTCTCCCTACATTTTCTCTTTACTACCATTTCATCAGGTACTATCTCAGCAGGAGAGGGGAATAGTATGAAGGAGCGGTGTACATCCACCCTGCCTACGTATTCGTCTAACCGATGGACTGCTTCGACACCAAGCAATTAATGTGTTGCTATTGGAAATGATAATGGCGAGCACCCGTACGAATTACGAAGAAATAGGACAAAGGGCTTTCACAGATGGAACTGAGATATTTCCGACGAATTCCAGGTGGCGCTTTATGGCTTATACATGGATTGCTACAGTCTCTAAATTTGGCGATTGTTATCATCTAAGAAAAAGACCTCGAATATACTACCAAAACCATCGTCTAGTCATTAATAAGTTAGTCAATTATTAGTGAAGGGATCAAAGATCATAAACGTCCAACTTGGTAGTATATGTTTTATTATACAATTTTGGGGTAAGTAAGTCTAAGGACAATGGTCATAGAGAGATCAACGTGTGAATTCCAGCTGTTATCGGATAAATGTCACAAAGGCAAAGGTCAATCGGTAAAAAGAAGTTTATAGTCTTGTACCCCTCCGTTCACGGACTGGGGGGGGGGGGGGGGTAGTATACGCCTTGCATCAACACCTCATTGAACCCACTAACGACATGACAAAGTCATACGGATTCAGAAGATTCTCAACTGCAGTTTCAAGGCTTTGGCCTCTCCAATACCCAATACTCCATAGCCTCTCCAATACCATCCGAGCCATTACACAATAAACTGCCTTTAAATAATTATAACCTGAAATGTTACTTGTTCAAAAATACCCTCGAATATCAACTGCACCATTGTATTTCATCATAATTTAAACTACACGTCTCGTAATATATACCCCCCCCCCCCCCCCACTCCGGGAAGGGAGGAACCGCATGCGTGTTCCCAAAATCTCCGGCTCGTTAAAAAAAGAAAAAGGTCTACCCGTATTGACTTTACACACCAGACTTATGCTGAAGGGGGGGGGGGGGGTGCTGAGAACACGCATATGCTTACCCTAAATATCACTGAGTGGTGGGGGGCGGGAATATATATTACTGTATTTTTTTAATAATTAGTTTCATTTCTCTGTATTGATGTTGATACATGTAAATGTTTTGATTAATATTGTTTTTTTATATTATTTTAGTTCATGAATATAAGTAGATATGTATAATGTTGTTGTTTTATTATTGTAAAGCGTATTGATATTTTTTCTAAAGACGTTTTAATAGCCTACATTATTGTTATTATTACATGAATCTCCGTGTTAAAAAAATATATTATCTAATACATTATTGTGAAAATCTCAGTCTTTATATAAATGTAGGTCCCTAATAATGAAGATGCAGTCGTAATCAAATTTGTTTTAAATCATTTTTTAATCATTAGGTATGGATACAAATTGATACATTGTCATTCATTTTATGTGTATACAGTTATTTTGCTATTTGTCAGAATGTAGTTTTTTGTAAATAATATTTCATTCTTTTTTAATGAATCGAATATTGATTGTAGGTTTATGTCCGTGTGTGTGTGCGCGCGTGAGTATGTTTGGGACGTAGGGAATCAACCTTGAATTGGTTGCTATTTATGGATGATGGGTTCACCAAATTTCGCGAATTTTTTTTAATATTAGGAAATGTGATATTTGATCCATAATTTCTCATATTCTAAACACATTTATTTAGTTTAACTATTACCGAATGGACTGCAAAGTTATTTAATACAAATTGGTGCAACTAGGAAAATTTATCGTTCAAGAATTTTGGAGATGGGTGTATCTCGACCTCAAAATTCGATGTCGGATCGGAAAGCGCTGCAATTCACAAAACGAAACCAATTTACAGACGATATAACAAAAAGCGATCAATGAAATATAAGATGATAGCATATTTTGCGAGGCAAGTATCTAACAATGAGTTGGTATCCCTTTTTACTTACAATTTTGATGACATCTGCTCTCAAAATAAAGATTTCCAGACCCTTGTCTTTAATTTCATATTTTTCCGGAACGGATTAAGCAAAAGACTGAAAATTTGCCGATCTTTTGTCAATATTTTCATAATTTCACACCAAATTCTTAAAAAAAAAAATCGTCACTGGTTAAGTTTAGGTTCCACTTTTTATTGGTAATATCAAATTTGTTAAACCCTACCGATTTTTTGAGATAGCGAGCTTAGGTTACGTATGAACATGGTCACACCACAATATAATTATTTATATTTTTAAACACAAATTAGAAAAAATAATGGAAAATATTGCATAATATACTGAAACAAATACGAATTTGAATAAAATGTGATAAGAAATTTTGTTGTCGCCTTTTCTTAGATTGCCTTGGTATAGGGGCGAATCCATGATTTTGTAATAGAGGCATGGGGGTGCAATATTCGTAGGGTTTTTACAAACGTGTATCAATCAGATGTGATTATTTACATCTGGGGACCGACCTTTTAACGTCACTATCCGAAAGACGTGACTCAATTTGTAACTTCCACTGTTAGCTGGATTAGAGTAGGGGGGGGGGGTTAAGGAGCATTTTTTTTTCTTACTCTCCCTTGAGCTAAAAAAAAAACTTGAGGGGGGGGGGTTAATATTTTGCTGAAAGAAAAGCTAAGTTCTTTACAAATAAAAACAAATTTTAACGTGCACTTGTGCAGTCATACTAGGTTCTTCATCTTCTTAAGTGCTCTTCTTTTTCTTCTCCTTCTTGTACTTCTTTTATTTTCTTCTTCTTTATTTTTGCCTTTTTTTCTTTTGCTTCTCCTTGTTCTTGTCTTTAATTTTTTCCTTCCCCCCCCCTTTATTTTCCTTCTTTTCCTCCTTCATTTAACTTCTTCTTCGTTCTTCTTTTCTTCTTCTGCTTCTTCTACTTCTCTTCTCATTTTTTTCCTTTTCTTCTTCTTCTACCTATGATTAATATGTGTTCCTTCTTTATGTTATTTCTTCTTCTTCCTTTTCTACTTCTTCTACTTCTATGGTAATACCAATACTCACCAACGCCTGTTCAGCATCTAGATGAGGGTGAAGTATGTTATATACAGCTCTATGCGGTACAGTTCCTGAAAAAAGGGCCACCTTTTCTTTTCTGAATCTCCTTCTTCTTATTTTCTCTTCTTCTTTTTAAAAAAATCTTCTTCTTCGACACGCGTTATCTTTTTCTACTTCGTTTTCTTTCTTCTTCTTCTGAAAATAAGTGCAACTCTTCTCTTTCTTTAAACGCGGAGGGCGACATTTCCTTGCTTTCACTCAATCGCAGGCTCGTGTTTTAAAATTACATCGATTTAGATTACACATTGACTATTACAAAAAGTGATGAAAAGAGAACTTGAAATCTAATAAACAATGGCTGCCAAAAGAAAACCAGATGCCCAGATACCAGAGGAAGAGAGTGACCGGTTGATCGTTCGTCCTTTGTAAGTGCATCGGCCATCTTAGTGAAAATTGAAATACGTGTGTAGCTAGTGGACGTGATAGAATACCCATTTTCTTGCCCCACGTATTTATTTTGATGTTGGTTTTGGAATAGAGGCTGGAGAAGCGTAATTTAGATTCATTTTTATACAATAACACAGCCACAACGAATATTAAGGGCTAGATGATATGAAATATATCTTTATATTACAATATTAATTGTGATCATTGTAAAAACATTCAACTTGTCTACCCGAAACCGAGCAAGGCCAAGGTAGGCACATTCATGGGGCACTAGAGGTAGGCAGTTCAGTTTAGACCTTCGCGATGAGGACAACTTCTTATTCACGTACGCAGGTGCGCATTTCAGCTCCCTATACGAATCCACATACATAAGGGTGAGCGCGCTTTCGGCCACACTTTCGTGAGCTTTCGTGGTTCTGCCGAAAAAAAACACTCGGTTTATTTCGGATTTCCCCGCCTTCTGATTGGTTAAAACAATAAAATATGACGTCATTTCTCTTCGACAATTATCGATGCACATCGGAAGTGAGTTGTACGTTGAATAACCATCGTAGTAGATGGTTTTGCTCAAATCTGCCGACAATGTGATGATATTCAGATGGAAGGAGTTTTTCAACTAACTTACAACTCCGTAATTAACAAAATTAAATATCTTACCTTCTTTCCTGAAAGTTTCAAATAATGATGATGAGTAGATCTTATGGTAGATATGATAATATGATTGCAGTTTTTGAAAATTGCACGAACTGATTTTGACGATGCGACGCGTGATGCGTGTACATAGTGTGTACGTGAATGAAACAGCTGTGTGAGTGACGTCGAGACCATTTCGTAGTCTTAGAATTCAGACCCGTTTGTGACTTGATTGACTTGTTTTTTCAATTTTTGTTTATTGTATGTCGTATTTTATTGATAATTGTGATATTTATTTCAATATTTGGAATAAATATTGTAATAATCTAACATGAATTGGTTATATTTTGGGGTAAAGTAACAATATTTTTTCGAAAAAACTGTTCATTTACTGCAAGATTGCTGCAAGTATAGACTACATAGACAATTTGTCACCTCATCCTTTTGTGTGTGTGTGTGTGTGTGTGTGCGTGCGTGTGTGAGAGAGAGAGAGAGAGAGAGAGAGACTAGGAGAGAAAGACCGAGAGAGAAAGAAAGAAAGAAATAGAGAGAGAAAGAGAGAAAAAAAGAAAGAGAGAAAAAAAGAAAGAGAGAAAAAAAGAAAAAGAGAAAAAAAGAAACAGAGAGAGAGAGAGAGAGGGAGAAAGCGTGAGTGTGTGTGTGTGTGTGTGTGTGAGAGAGAGAGAGAGAGAGAGAGAAAGAAAGAAATAAATAGACAAGATCATTTGGTAAAAGTTTAGATTCAAAGGGTTTTTATTTACCTTTTATAACAATATGATGACAAAAACATGGAAATTTGCATAAATTTGCATAAATTTGCATATTTTATTACGGTGCTGTTTAAAGATATTAAATTTCATATTTGCCAAACATCACTGAATATATTTGCCAAATTTCAGCGAGTTTGGTCATCGCATTGAAGAGATATGACTATTATGAGGCTTAACAGATCACAAACTTCTGAAAACAATGGTGCCACTGCTTAAACACAGGTTTAATTGACTTCAATACAATTATAATAGGTTAGACCTTTTGATCTTTTGTCCTCATCAATATGGTTCTGAAAATTATTTTAAAAATCCGTATCTCTGGAACCGTTGGTCCAAATTGAACAACTCAAAGTGCATTGTGTAAATAAAAATGTGATCTTTAAAATGATATAGAAATCACCCCCTATCTCCTACAAAAAAAAAATCACCTGAACTGCCTACTAGAGGTAGGGTGTCTGAACGATTTTTCAATTTTCAATTTGGGATCGTTTTTCACCATTTTTGTTTGATATTTGAATTAAAAATGTAATCAGAATAATACATTTCAAATTTCAAGTCTCGCCGATGTTTCTATCAAAAGATACAGCCCCTTCAAAATGCTGAAATATTCATAGCATTTTGCTCAGAATCGACGAAAAAGACGTACACGCAGAGTTATGTTGTTTTGCTAAATTTAGCCAAACAGCTGTATCGCGCGATATGCAAGCGTATGCATATCGTACGCAAGTTGCTCAGCCAATGCGCGACTTGCAAGCTTGAGCCACGCTGTCTCCGCGATATGTGCCATTGACTAGTATGGGTGGCCGTTCCCGCTATAGAACCCGGAAGTGAATACACGTTGTAGTCAATGGCAATATCGCGGAGACAATCTCCGCGATATTGCCATTGACTACAACGTGTATTCACTTCCGGGTTCTATGGCGAGAATCGGCCACCCATACTTTCATTCACTATAAGCGCACATGTTACGATGTAACCATGGTTTGGACTGAGCGGAGCTCACGCCTCCCTAATTAGCTGATTCCAAAAATGTGGGAAGGGTATTTTCAAACTGTTATAACAAATGATCCCTTGGGGCTAGCGAAAAAAAAGCATCTGGATATTATCCTTACGTCTAGCCCTGCTTAAGCCGCGGGGGCGCAGCTCAGGAAAGTGGCAAATTTTGGAGCTAGGATGCAAACAACATTTCAATCGCTGTTTTGACCAAGATATTTTTAGAATTCTGGGGGTGGCCCCCTATGGGGAATATGGAGAAAAACCTGCTCTTTCATATGACACCTCATTTATTGAGTTTCACCTTCAGGATCATTTGTTATAAAGGTTTGATTTTCAAATTTTTTCATAAAATCATTGACCAATTTTGGATGGTCGCGCAATGCACGTAGACCACATAGGGAAGCGTACAATCTCTATGGGAAGGGTTTTAGCACACAACATTGGGTGCGCGATCAGACACCCTACTAGAGGGCGCTTTGCGCGCGTACGAAAATCTGAATGGCCTTGCTGCGGTGGGTCGGCAATAATCAGCCCAAAACTTGGATATGGGAGGGTGGAAGGATACATCTTTTTTATAATGTTATCTGGTCTTACCCTTAACCATCCTATGTTTAATCTATGTAGAAATAACATGCGAGTACGATAAGAGAAACATCGGGCCCATTACTGATGCAACTTTTAAAATATTAGCCTAGAAATGACCACCAAACGGAAAAAATTGACATTTTTTCCCGACAAATCTTCATAAAATCTGATTTATAAACAAGTCACATCTAGATACACTAATACAAATACGATTTTCTGAAAATTCAGGTATTATTTATTAAGTTTCTTTCAAGTATATTTCTGCGCATCGCAGCGCCAATGTTCTTCACTGCTTCTAAATCACCCTTGAATTTTTTTTTTTGCAACGAATTTGTTACGAGGTCCGCGAGTGTTCCCCGTTCCTTGCGTGTTGAAAGTTTGGTAATACATAGTTTACATTGACTCGCGCACGAAAAAATGGTCGAAAACAAAATGTCAAATGAAGAAATAAACAAGCTTTTGTATAGTTATAAGAGTTCTACCGAGGTTTCTTTGTCGATTTAGTTTATTATATAGTCTCAATTAGAATTCAGAATTATCTCACTGAAGAGTTAAGAAACCGACGATGTTCTCGATCGTAGTTATTTTCATTTTGCCAGCAGCCGATCTAGCGTTGTTTGGGCAAAAAGCTAGGCCGCTGCCTTCCCATCGCAAACCTTTCCGAGTCTCGCTAAAATGGCGCTCTGCGGAGCTCCGAAGCTGCGTTGGTATCGCTGCAAACTCTCAGCCGGCCAGCTCCCCACGACGGACCATTCGCGGTATGGCGAGAGTGTGTGTGTGAGGTATGATTTTGGATTCGAGAACGCACGCAATGCAACCGTGCGCGTCATTTTCAGCTGTCGAATGTATACGACCAATTTTACATGTACGATTTTTAGTACAGATACTTGGTCAGTTTTCTTCTTATATCTTTGGTTTTACAACATTTAAAAATTTAATTTCTTCAAATTTGCTCTTGACTCGGTTCAGACTAATTGTCTGGTGTGTTTTCAAGTCAATTTTTTGAATATATTTTTTTGCATGAATTTGCCTAGCCAAGGCCAGGGTTTCTTTCGCATAAAATGAACGAACATCACAAAATTCTTGCAGACTGAGAGTTCTGTACTTTTGAAATATTGCAATTCTTGACTGATTTCCAATTGCTTTGTTATTGTATGAATATATTTATGAGAACAAAGAAGAGTTGACTAGTACTAGGTAGTCTAGTATACTCTAAAGGTATCTTGCAAAGTGTTTTGACTTTTGTGTGCAGGAATGTGTGATTATTTCCACATTTTAGGTGTTGTTTAAATCACTATTCACACAGGCAAATAGGCGTAAAGTAAATATTACTTTGATTTTAACAGAATTAGAAGCAGTAAACATGAGAGGAACAGTGAAAGTTTGAGCAAAAATCAAAAAAAAAAAAAAGTCATGAACTTTTGAAATTGCATTAATTGTTATTATTATTATTATATTTATTACAATGTAGAGCACTTAGGAACCAGTGAAAAAAATACACGGGCTCGAAATGCCAAAAAGAGCCCCCAAAAGTCATAAACGAACCCCCCAAAATTTGCATATCGGTAGAGTCCAATGCAAAACAAATTAAAGAGTGTTATTTTCATGAAAGTAAGGTTGAACAGTAGCCCCCAAATTTGTTAAAATACATGTTAAGATCTATCAAATTATTATTACTTACCGTATTTGCCGGCGTAAAGGCCGCACCGCCGCATAGGCCGCACCCCCAACTTTGACATTTCGTAGAGAAAAAAAAGAAAAAAAAAAAAACGGACCAAAGAAAATAATCTCTATTCTTCCTACAAACTAATACCAAAGTTATCAATCATTTTATAAATTTACAGGAAGTTTACCTAAAAAATGATCGTAATTTAGCAAATCTTCATCAATTTTTAGGCAGATTAGCACATTCATTGGACACTAGAGGGCGCTTCGCATGCATACAGAAACATGAATGGCCTGCCATAACCAAGCTTTGGCCATAATGTTATCCGGTCTTACCCCTATCGTACCGCCAAATGGAGAAAATAAACAAGCTTTTGTATTGTTATTAGAGATCTACTGAGGTTAGTTTGTCGCTTTAATTAATTAGATAGTCTCAATTATAATTCAGAATTATCTTACTGAAAAGTTAAGAACACCGACGATTGCGCGAATCTCCGAAGCTGCGTTGGATTTGTTGCAACTCCCAGCCCGGTAGCTCCCCACCACAGAGTGTGTGAGCGAGGTATGATTTTGGTTACCGGGCCTTGCGCTGTCTAAGCCAAGGACATTTTTACAAGTACGATTTTTAGTACAAGTTTCTGGTCATTTTTCTTCTTATTTCTTTGGTTGCACAAGGATTAAAAAGATAACTTCTTCAAATTTGCTGCTGACGTGGTTCAGACTAGATCTTGTCCGATGTGTTTTCAAGTCAATTTTAAAATTTTCTCTTCCAAAAATACTGCGGCCTTTACGCCGGCAAATACGGTACTTTTATAGATATCAACATCATCATCACTGTTAATATACGATTATTGTATTTTCTTTGTTCAGGGGAGCTGGTCAAGAGGTCGGAAGGTCATGTATAATGCTGGAGTTCAAGGGCAAAAAAATCATGGTAAGTAATTCCTTAAAGTCTTGAGACGAGCATAACTGCCAGTCTTGGGGTGTAAATATTTGTGATTGAATGATACACACCTAAAAACTAAAACGACAACAACAGGGTGGGAAAAACGGCTACAGAGCCTGTTGGGTGTGCTGGACAGTGTAAACTACCTAGCCCCACAGTTTTTACTGTCTTGTAAACTCTATTATGTACTACGACTTCATACTATTATTATATTGAGAACAATTTAGTAAATTGCCAATTTTTATCAAAAACATATTTTTTAACCTTGTCACTTTTTGACAATTTAAGGATTTTAAAAATTACTGGCATTTGTTTGTTCCTTCTACTCATGCATCGGGTATATTTTTATGGGCTGTAAATCAAAAGTTACTAAAGACCACTCCTCATCAGACCGAAGTTGCAAAATACCCTACTTTTCTCAGACTCAGGAATTGTGTCTTCTCCAAACTAGCTCAGACGGGCGCAAATTAGCCTGCTATTTACCAAATAGCGGGCTATTTTTGAAACAAGAACAAGATTTCTCTGGATATTTTCTTGACCAAATAGCCTGCTAATCGCAACTGCGTGCTGATGAAGACGAAAATTAGCTGGCTAATTTCAGATCGGGCTAGTTAAAATAGTGGGTTATTTTGCAACTTCGGTCTGATGAAGACAGGCCTTAAGCAGGTACATGTACATGTAAGCCCAACCACAGAGCATGGAATGATAGGCAAGACAGAGTTAAATACACAGAGGCTAAGACAATGGAAGTATGCGCATGCCTCATTTGTAAAATGTTTTTGTTTGTGGTGTTTCAAACAGCAGTAAAAGTAGGGTGTTCTACAAACAAGAATTCAAAGATGTAAAATTGGTGGGATTAGCATGTGTGCCCTTGTAAAATGGTGCCTGGCCGAAATACTCCTAAGAAAGCGGAGCGCGTGCAGCATCATGCAATTGAAAAGCAATGACCAGGATATTAATAATTACAATGTAAAGGGCTTAAAAACGTAGTATAAAGTGCTATACAAATGTGACCCTTATTATAAATACCAGATGCATTATAAACGTTCCCTTTTTTCATATCGACAGCTTGATTGTGGAATACACCCTGGTCGTGAAGGAATGGACTCGCTTCCTTACTTTGATCTCATTGATCCAGAAGAAATTGACCTACTTCTGGTCAGTCAGTAAGTTATGCTTTTTATGCCTCCGTTACGAAGTAGCCGGAGGCATTATGTTTTCGGGTTGTCCGTCCGTCCGTACGTCCGTACGTACGTACGTACGTACGTCTGTACGTACGTACGTCCCGTTCTCGTGATCGCGTTATCTGAAGAACTGGTTGATGGATTCCTGCCAAACTTTGGTCATGTATGTATCTTGTAGAGCCGATGAACTGATTAGATTTTGGGGTTACGAGGTCAAAGGTCAAAGGTCACAGGGCTCATTATGTATGCAAAACGAGCTCGTGATCGCGTTATCTGAAGAACTGGTTGATGGATTCCTGCCAAACTTTGGTCATGTATGTATCTTGTAGAGCCGATGAACTGATTAGATTTTGGGGTCACGAGGTCAAAGGTCAAAGGTCACAGGGCTCATTATGTATGCAAAACGAGCTCGTGATCGCATTATCTGAAGAACCGATTGATGGATTGCTGCCAAACTTAGGTCATGTATGTTACTTGCAAAGCCAAAAAACTGATTAGATTTTGAGGTCACGAGGTCAAAGGCCACAGGGCTCATTATGTATGCAAAACGAGCTTGTGATCGCGTTATCTGAAGAACCGATTGATGGATTGCTGCCAAACTTAGGTCATGTATGTTACTTGCAGAGCCGATGAACTGATTAGATGTAGGGGTCACAAGGTCAAAGTTCAAAGATCACAGGGCACATTATGTATGCAAAAACAGCTCTTGATCGCGTTATCTCAAGAACCGATTGATGGATTCCTGCCAACTTAGGTCATGTATGTTTCTTGCAGAGCCAATGAACTGAGTAGATTCTTGGTTCATAAGGTCAAAGGTCATGGGCTCATTATGTATGCAAAAATAGCTTGTAATCACAATATTCTGAAAACCTGTTAATGGATTACAATTGAACTTGAATTTGAAAAATTTCTTCTGTTTTGGTTTGTAAAATTGCTCTATGACGGAGGCATCATTTTCGACTGCGCGCAGTCGAAGTTCCATCTAGTCTTACATGGAGAGAGAAGAGGAGAGGGAGAGAGAAGGGGCAGAGAAATAAGAGAGAGAGAGAGAGTGAGAGAAAGACAGAGAGAAAGAAGAGAGCGAGAGAATGTGAAAGAAGATAGGGGCAGAGAGAGAAGAGAGCGAGGGGGAAAGAAGAGAGAAAGAGAGAGAGAGAGAGAGAAGAGATTTTTATTCATGTTTGCCGGTATACAAATATTGACTGCTCATGAGGATGATGGTGGGAACTATCACTCCCAAGGTGGTGTCCACACCACCGAGGGAGTGGTAGTTCCCACCATCATCCGATTACAGAGCAGTCCATATTTGTTTTATATACCTCATCCTTTTTATTGATTCATGATTAGGTCTAGCTGTAGGTCTAGATGTAGCTCTAAAAACAGGAAACGAGATCAAGAGGAATTAACTAACCAGAATAAGAAAATCCAACATCAAGTCCAAGGCAAGAGTATTGAATTCCTATGCACTGCGCGTAACCGCGCGACTGCGGTAGCCTAGCAACTAAACAATTTTAGGGGTCCTATCCCAGGGTTTGATAGTAGCTATCAACCCCTCTGACGTAATGATACTTGATAGATCGAAATGCTCCTCGACATGTGATAGTCTTGACCAATCAGTGAATGACAATCTATGTATGAGGTATATAATAGTTGCTATATTATACAACTATGGACACGCATATATCATATTAACAGTCTGTGTGTGTCTCCCATGGCAGACCAGACAGACCAACCAGTGACTGCTCTTGCCTTCAATGTTGCTCAATGGTGCTAAAGCTCATTCATACCTTTTACTTACTCAGTATTACCCATTGGATTATTTTGTGATTTTCTCCAGCTTTCATTTAGATCACTGTGGAGGCCTGCCATATTTTTTGAAGAATACTCAGTTTCGGGGGCGAGTTTTCATGACCCATGCCAGCAAAGCCATCTACAGATGGAACCTGTCCGACTACGTCAAAGTCAGGCAAGTTATAATGTTAATAATGATGATAATGATGATAAAAATGTTAATACTAACAATAATGATAATAATATGTAATGATAATAATGATCAAAGGAATAATAGTTATAATAAAAGCAATGATAATTATATCATTGATAATAATAATAATGATAATAACAAAAGAAGAATGATAATGATGATAACAAAAGTAATGATAGTCATAATGCTATTAATGATATTCGTAATAGTGATGATAATGATAATCATAAAAAAAAAATAATGATAATAATAACTACATTAAAGTGACTCGGTAACATTGTTGAAGGTTGATGAAAAAAATTGCTTAATTTTTGTATAAAATGTTACTTACTTTATTCCTTCTACTATACTAACCCTTTGACATGCAAGAAATCCTGAACAAATTCTCAAACCACAAAGATATCTATGGTTTTCTTTGAAGGCGTCGATGTGAGGCACCCTCTAACAGTGATTAATAGTAAATTCTCCCAACCATTTTTAAATTTTCCCAACCGTTTTTCCATGAGAAAAAAAAATAAAACGGGCTATAAATATCTGTCAACACTTAACTGTCTGGAATGGAATGTAGAGCCATTTTATTGCTTTGTGACGATTTACATTCACCTAAAATGTAATTAAATTGTCCTTGTCTTGATGCTGAACAGGCTTTGACAAGTAGCAGAATAGAAGTAGAATAATATAGTTGGGAGAATTAAGGAATCGATCAGATCAGTTTTTCCCAATTTGTACCATGAATAGTGATCCGTTTTCACTCAAGTTTTCAGATTATCTTTAATTGTATATCTAGCATTGAAGTCACTACCTTAGCACCACTATCTCTCATCTGAACAATGTTACAAAGTCCCTTTAATAACAATAATAATAATAATGATAACGATTACAATAATGTTCATCATGACAATAGTATGTTTTCACAGTCTTTTCACGAAGAGTAAGGACAATTTATTCCAAGATTTATGTTTTAATTTGTTCTGTTTGCTTTGTCTATCAGTAATTTGTCGGCCGAGCGGATGCTCTACACCGACGCTGATCTACAGGCTAGCATGGACCGCATTGAGACCGTCAACTTTCATCAGGAGGTTGATATAAACGGGATACGTTTCTCGTGCTACCACGCCGGTCACGTCCTGGGGCGTGTATGTTCCTCATCGAGATCGCTGGTGTTAAGGTACGAAACAAGAATTCTTGTAAACTGTTCGCTTGGTGACCTCTCTTCCGGTAGGAAGAAATGGTTGAGCGCCTTTTCATGGTAGCTCGGCAAAAGATGGGTTAATAATTATGATTGCAGAACCCTCCGGGAGAACATTATTAATACTGAAAAGGCTACCCTGGCTTAACAAGACATATCATTATTGTTATCAATATTTTTGTTATTATTATTGTTGTTGTTGATGTTGTTTTTGGTGTTATTATTTTATCTGTTTAAATATTTGTATTATTAATATTATTATTATTTTTGCTCTATAAATTATTATTATTATTGTTATTATCATTTATTCATTATCATTATTATTATTATTATTATTAACGTCATCATCCTCATCATCCTCATCATCATCATCATCATCATTATCATCATTATTATGATCATCATCATCATCATCCTCATCATTATCATTATCATCCTCATCATTATCATCATCATCATCATCATCATCATCATCATCATCATGGCCCATTTTATTGAACCAGTAACTTTCTTTGTTTCAGATTCTTTATACTGGTGATTTCTCACGTCAAGAAGATCGTCATCTGATGCAAGCAGAGATACCAAACGTCAAACCAGATATCTTGATTACTGTGAGTAGCAGCTGCAAGTAGTTCAGTCTTTTCTTAATCCTTTATTTTAATACGTTCAATTCAATTTCTGAGAGTGAATCACTTGAATTTGTAAACCTTTCATCTGCGTAAAAGCTTTTTTTACAACCCGTACATGTGAAACAAATCTATTACTTTTCTTATTTGTAAACCTTTCATCTGCGTAAAAGCTTTTTTTACAACCCCTACATGTGAAACAAATCTATTACTTTTCTTATTTTTCATCGGATTTTAATCAAACTTTCACTGATCTGTTTCTCCCATTTTTCTGCTTAAAGTTAAAGACCAGTTCTGGTCATGCGATTGCATTGTGAAAGAAACGTTGTGGAATCGATCAGGAGAGGTTGATCAACTAGCATACAAGTATTGGTGTGTACTGCAAGGTTCTGGAATCATCAAAATGATAAGAAATTTGGCCCAGTCTTCGTAAAGTTACAAGCACTGTACACAGAAAGATGGTCTGTTTCATACTACCATCCATATGATCAAATAATCATTTTATCTACCATCCATAAGGTTCTGATATTGATGATTATTATTATCCATAATTGAATTATTATGAGTCCATGTGGATAGTGGACAGGCTGGGTTTAGACCAAACGGTAATAGCCTAATTGGGTAGTAGACCAAACAGCAATACACCTGTCTTGTACCTGCCATTACGTACATGTACCCTGTCATCCTTGCCTTCTAGGAAGCCACCTATGGCACCCACATCCATGAGAAGTGTGAAGACAGAGAGATGATTAAATTGTTATGAGTCCATGTGGATAGTGGACAGGCTGGGTTTAGACCAAACGGGAATAGCCTAATTGGGTAGTAGAGGAACTTGTAGACCAAATGGCAATTCACCTGTCTGTGTATCTTTACATGTACATTGTCATCCTTGCCTTCCAGGAAGCTACATGCACCTATGGCACTCACATCCATGAGTCCATGTGGGTAGTAGACGGTCTGAGTGTAGACCATATGGGAATCAGGGGGGTGTTTCACAAAGATCCTAAGTCAAACTTAACTCTTAAGTTGGACTTAACAATTATGGAGAGCCATTTGTAGCCTTAATAAAAAAAATATTCAAAAGCAAAAATTCAAGTGTTTTACACTTTTCATAAATTCCACATGAAATCTCCATGATAATAGAAAATATGATTGATTTGAATCAAATTTTTATGCCTTTTAAAATAACTTTTACAAAATATTTTTAAAGATGCTAACGGCTTTCCATAATTGTTAAGTCCAACGTAGAGATAAGTTCAACTTAGGATCTTTGTGAAACACCCCCTGGTAGCAGAAGAACTGGTTGAAGACCAGCCATTACATACACATACATTGTCATCCATGTCTTATAGGAAGCCACCTATGGCACTCACATACATGAGAAACGTGAGGACAGAGAGGCCCGGTTCACCAGCACGGTTCATGATATCGTCAACAGAGGGGGGCGCTGTTTGATTCCTGTTTTTGCTCTGGGACGAGCGCAAGAGCTACTTCTGATTCTTGGTAAGGTCTTGTTAAATCTAATTACTCATAATTCCTAAGTACCATTTGAGGTGTCTGTACAAGCATTGCTTTTTAGTGGACCCCTTTGTTTCCAATATGTATTTCTACATTTGTTGTAAATGTTCATGATTGATTTGTAATGTTTTGTTGGAAACATAAATAAATTGAAATTGAAATTGAATTGAAAATTGGTTATTAAAAGCCAAAACAGGTATTGTAAAACCCCATTTACCTCACCTGAGTCGAGGGGGACAAATGAAGATTATGTCTTGCTAAAGGACAATAGCTCAGCGGCAGGACTGGAACCGCGAATCGTGTGATCGACAGTCGTGTGACGTATCCGCTAGTCCACAACACCACAAAATGCCCTGAATCTACCCGTAATTTGTATTTACTTTTTCGCAGAATAGTGTTGAAAAGAGCCATACTAAAGCTTTTCGACTTGCACATCAGAGTAAAGCGCAGGAATGAAACAGAAAACTAAAATCGATCAATATAAACGGAAACTAAAACGAACAAGGCACGAATATAACGAGCTCTGATTGGCTGTCTAAGGTAACGGTGGCTTATTGCCAACCGGTTATACCGGGATAATTGCTAAAATAATACGAGCGTCCGAACAAAGTTTGTAAACATGGTTATAGTAGAGCTGTGAAATGCACATGAGTGAAAAGAGGTTGTAACATTGTTCAGACTGGTGATCAGTTCTTTGTGGTTTGTTCTGTAGATGAGTATTGGTCCAACCATCCCGAGCTTCATGATATACCAATCTACTATGCCTCATCGCTGGCTAAGAAGTGCATGGCAGTCTACCAAACCTACATAGATGCTATGAATGAGAAAATCAGAAGACAGGTGAGACGTTGACAGAGAGAGGGGAGGGGAAGGGGATGGGGGGGGGGGGGGGGGGGGGGGGGGGGTAGAAATGCATGGCAGTCCACCAAACATACATAGATGCTATGAATGAGAAGATCAGAAGACAGGTGAGATGTTGACAGAGAGAGGGGGAGGGGGAAGGGGATGGGGGGGGGGGGGGGGAGGGGGTAGAAATGCATGGCAGTCCACCAAACATACATAGATGCTATGAATGAGAAGATCAGAAGACAGGTGAGATGTTGACAGAGAGAGGGGGAGGGGGAAGGGGGGATGGGGGGGGGGGGGGGGGGGGGGGGGGGAGGGGGTAGAAATGCATGGCAGTCCACCAAACATACATAGATGCTATGAATGAGAAGATTAGAAGACAGGTGAGACGTTGACAGAGAGAGGGGGAGGGGAAAGGGGATGGGGGGGGGGGGTAGAAATGCATGGCCGTCCACCAAACATACATAGATGCTATGAATGAGAAGATCAGAAGACAGGTGAGACGTTGACAGAGAGAGGGGGAGGGGGAGGGATGGGGGGGGGGGGGGGGGGGGGGGGGGGGGGGGGAGGGGGTAGAAATGCATGGCAGTCCACCAAACATACATAGATACTATGAATGAGAAGATAAGGTGAAAAATAGACAGTGAGAAGGAGGGGGGGGGGCAGACAGTGTGTGTGAGAGAGAGAGAGAGAGAGTAGACAGAAGGGGGTGGTTGAAGCGGGAGGGGGGGGGGGAGAACTGCATGACAGTCTACCAAACGTTCACAGAATGGGAGGCAGACATCGGGTGAGAAAGAGATAGAAAGGGAGGTGAGAAGCAGAGAGATGAGAAGCAGGAGAGAGAGAGAGAGGGAGACAGAAGAGAGAGGGAAGGAAGGGATGAGGAGGGGGACAACAGGTGGGGGGGAGGGGGAGTGGAGATGGAGGGAGAGAGGGAGGGGACGTTGAATGCATTAGAAACACCCAGAAGTAAAGATAAAAGAATAAAAAGTAAATGGGATAGAGGGAAGATTTAATGAAAACCATATTTTAAGATCAAAGGTATGAGTACCTCTGGAACTACTGTATCTGTTCTTGAAAAAAAAAACCTGTGAAGTGTCAATAAATATCCTTATTTCCTTTCCCTCCTCAGATCAATGTCAGCAATCCATTTGTATTCAAGCACATTTCAAATCTTCGCGGCATGGACCATTTTGATGACGTTGGTCCTTCCGTCGTCATGGCGAGCCCCGGTATGATGCAGTCTGGTCTGTCGAGGGAGCTGTTTGAGAACTGGTGCACGGATCGACGCAACGGTCTCATCATCGCTGGTTACAGTGTGGAAGGCACCATGGCAAAGGTACAGAGATGATGATGATGGTGATGATGGTGGTGATGATGGTGATGATGGTGATGATGATGAAAATGGTGATGGTGGTAGTGATGAAGATGATGATGATGATGAGGAGGAGGAGGATTATGATGAGGAGGAGGAGGATTATGATATTGATGATGATGGTTATGGTTACAGGGATAGTGCTGATTTTGATGATTGTGTCCACAAAGTTCTGCCATTGGTCATGATTAGGGTGACAGTGAAAATGTTTAAAAAGTTTGGTGAAGATGCCAGTTTACAATCTCTCTTCAGCTTTATACACAGTTGTATACTTCATTTATCAATCCCCTTGGTTCTATTTATAGCATGTGATGTCATCCCCAGAGGAAGTGCAGACTCTGAGCGGTCAGAAGATTGCTTTGAAGATGACGGTAGATTACATCTCCTTCTCTGCCCATGCCGACTATGAGCAGACATCAGAGTTTATCAGATCGCTTAAACCACCACAGATAGTAAGTAACATGAAACATACTACCTACATCCTATCTCTCTCTCTATCTCTCTTTCCCTCTCTATCTCTCTTTCTCTCTCTCTCTCTCTCTCTCTCTCTCTATCTCTCTTTCTCTGCTCATGCTGACTACGCGCAGACGTCAGAGTTTATCAGATCGCTCAAACCACCACAGATAGTAAGTAAGATGAAGAATAATACCTACAGCCCTCAGCGTCCTCAGCAGAAGGGCTCTTACGTAAATCTCGGTCACAACATCCAGGCCACTTTGTCGATTTTTAAATGAACGAGTTAATGAGGCCGTAAGAAATAAATTTCTTACGATCTTACGATAATATACCAAAAAAAATTCAGAGATATCCCTGGATGAGAGATGTGATTTGGGTAAAATTTCCACAAACCCTACACAGCGCACAACATGGAAACATTTGCTCAGAAGGCAAGCCAGGTTTGAAATCACTTCACGATTGTAACAAAGAACAATTACAAATGATGGACATATAGTGATATTCCCTAAGTATACTTCTGAAACAATCATGGACTTGTACAAAAAACAAGGAAGTCAGTAGCAACCAACAAGAGCTTTCAGATACGTAAAATGGATACGCATAATATGTCTAAAGTGCGCACGTCACATGAAGGCACCATATACACCCAAGCATGTAAGTACCAGAGCTAGTTCAATATTATGTCCAAGAGGTTTGGGGGTATTGGCGATAGCAAGAATTACATTTTGGGCTAGTAGGTCAAGATTATAGTCGTCAGTTGATAATTGATTATAGACTTTTTGATTTTATTGTGATATTTCATGAATAATTCCATCCATTTCCCACACTAAATTGAAGGTGGAGGCATATAGGAGACGCAGTTGCATTTGTCCTTTATAATGTATACGGCAATTTCATCCTCTGACATGCAATAAACTTCATCCCGGATGAATGACCGTTTTTTTTTTTCTTTTTTTTTTTTTTCTTTTTTCAAGGTACTTGTTCATGGTGAGGCGAATGAGATGAGCAGACTGAAGGCTGCTGTGCTGAGAGAGTACGAGGATGATGACGAGTATAACATACAGGTTCATAATCCAAGGACAACACAGGCGGTAGAACTGTACTTCAGAGGAGAGAAAATGGCAAAGGTATGAAAGATACATGGTGGTGGTGGGGTTGGTAGTGGTGGGGAAGATGGTGATGATGATGATGATGATGATGATGGTGGTGGTGTGGTGGTGGTGGTGGTGGTGGTGGTGGTGGTGGTGGTGGTGATGATGAGTATACATACAGGTTCATAACCCACGAACAACACAGGCGGTAGAACTGTACTTCAGAGGAGAGAAAATGGCAAACGTATGGAAGATACATGGTGGTGGTGGTGGTAGTGGTGGGGAAGATGGTTATAATGTTGATGGTGGTGGTGGTGGTGGTGACGGTGGTGGTGCTGGTGTGTGGTGGTGATGATGAGGGTAAAAATAGTGCCAATGATGATAGTGATGATGGTAATGATGATAATGATAATGATATGATGTTGACATGGCAATCACGACAGAAATGACAGAGATGAAGATGATGATGATGATAATGATGGGGTTTGATGAGGAGGATAATGATGGTAATAATATTATAGTGACAATGGCAATGACCACAATAACAATTACTTTTACTTAGTACGTGTATGTGCATTATTCCTTCATTTCTAACATGCCAGTCCCTAATTAGTCCTAATTAAATGTGTGTTATACAGTAGGCTTGCGGTTGCACCATGTGAGAAAGGGGGGAAGATTGGGGAGTCCTGAAAAGGACTCTCTGTAATCTTTTTTTTTGAGTGTGTGTAGTCCTGAAAAGGACTGTTGGTTATCTTTCTTGGCTTGTAGTTCTATAGCGCTGGCTGAGAGGATGGGTGGTAGGAGTGGCTCGACATTTCAAACAGGTTGACTATTAGGTTGACAGGTTGTCTAAATGTGTGTTGTTCTTGCAGGTAATGGGCAGCCTCGCATCTGAAAGACCGAGACATAACAGCAAGATATCAGGGATCCTCGTCAAGAGAAACTTCAATTACCACATCATGGCGCCGTCCGATCTCTCAGGTATGGAAGCATTCTCTTGAATTCTTATTTTTCTCTTTATTTTCTTATATTTTTACCCCCCCCCCCCCCCCCCCCCCCCCCCGCCTTAAACAACAGAAGGAGTAATATTAATGATATAATAATGGAAATAAAATTCTAGTTTCACTTTCTTCTCTCTGCTTTTATTCTGAATCTGTCTTTCTGTCTCACCCACTGTCTCTCTCTCTCTATGCCTTCATCTATTCATATCTCTTTATTTGTACTATGTCTTTTTTGTTGTTTCTCTCGCTTCTTGTTTCCCGATCCTCTATCGGCCTTTGTCAATTTATATTTGCCTCTTTTTTTAGTATCCCCTCCTCTCTCTCTCTCTCTTTCTTTCTCTTTGTAAAACTCTCCATCTTTCTCCTCCCCCCCCCCCACCCGTTTATCTTGTTGTCTTTCTCTATGTGTCTCTCTTTTAGTCTTTAGTTGCGTATCAACATACCTACATATATCGTGATTACATAATACAAGCACCCTCCCCCTTTTTTGTTTACACCTTCTCTCTCTCTCTCTCTCTCTTCTCTCTCTTTCTCTCTTTCTCTTTCTCTCTTCTCTCTCTCTCTCTCTCACTTTCTCTTTCTCTCTTGTTTTATCTCTCTCTCTCTCTCTCTTTCTCTCTCTTTCTCTCTTTCTCTTTCTCTTTCTTACTCTCTCTTTCTCTCTCTCTCTTTCTCTCTCCCTCTTTCTCTCTCTCTCTCTCTCTATTTTCCCAGCTATCTCTTTGGCACTGCTCCCATTCTCAAAAATGTCTTTCTCCATTTGATCATTCCAGAGTACACTGACCTAGCAGTAAGCAACGTGACCCAGCGCCAGAGCATCGCGTACCACGCCCCCCTCTCGCTACTCACGCACTACCTCACTCAGCTATCCACCGACATCGAGTACACCGAGATCAACGACAAGCCGGCTCTGCGCATCTTCGGGGAGATCAACATCATCCACGACCCTCCTGCGAGATTGGTCACACTCGAGGTGAGGGTCGTTAAGATTTAATTTAGGCGATATATATTTATTCTATATTAATTATTTGTGAAAGTGAAATACGATTTGACAGACTAGTAGAGAGATATGAAGAGAAAGACACCTAGACCAATGCAGAAACACAAGAGAGTTAATCCAAAAGTGAGAGATTTCTATGTATATTATTGTTCATAAAATTAAAAATACCGGTACCCATTTAAAACCTGGGTGGAGAGTGGCAAGTATAGATTGATGTCTTGCCATAATACGTAAGTGCTGCAGCGGGAATTGAACCGTGAACCTTGTCATCCACAGTTTGAAGATGTATCCACTAAACCACACCACCTCTACATAAATGTTACATCAAGACATGAAAGTGCTGTTGATAGACGTGTCGTGGTCTAGTGGATACATCGCTGGACTGTGGATCACATGGTTCGTGGTTGGAGTCCTGGGGGGTGTTTCAAAGAGATCCTAAGTTGAACTTAACTCTAAGTTGGACTAACAATTATGGAAAGCCATTAGCATCTTTGAAAATATTTTGTAAAATTTATTTCAAAGGGCACAAAATGATGATTCAAATCATTCATGTTTTCTATTGCCAAGGAGATTTCATGTTCTTGATGTGGAATTAATGAAAAGTCAAAAATTCTTCAATTTTTGCTTTTTGAATTTATTTTATTTTAAGGCTACAAATGGGTCTCCATAACTTTTAAGTCCAACTTAGAGATAAGTTCAACTTAGGATCTTTGTGAAACACCCCCCTGGTGCGGCATTTATGTCCTATGGCAAGACATCAATCTACATATTCCACTCTCCACCCTGGTATTTAATGAGTACCCGGTAAGATGCGAAAGTTAAAGTGGCTGGATTGGCACATGTGCACTTCTAAAACAGCTCCTGGTTGGAATACTACCCAGAGAAAGAAAAGTGTCTGCTATCATGTGTGGCTTTGCAATTGAATCCAATGATCGGGGTGATAATAATTACAATGTAAATCGCTTACAAACACAGTTTTAAAGAGAAGGTTGAGTTCTGGGGAGAGGTGAAAAATAATTTTTGATAGTTATCTTTGTTATTATGCAAGTGTGGAAGAACATTAGAGTAAAATGTCCCCTGAAAAGAATGGTTCTTCAAATGCCCTCATATTCTAAATTTGACAGTTAGCAGCTTTTAAAAATGAGGCCTGACTTTTTGTGCCACATGTTTGTGTAGTCCAATATACATCTTTCTGTGTACAGTTGCTTGTTACTTTACCAAGACTGGGCCAAATTTATTATGATTTTGATGACTCCAGAACCTTGAAGTGCACACCAATACTTACATGCTACATGATCAACTTTTTCTGTTTCTTTCACAATGCAATCGCATGACCAGAACTCAACTTTATCTTTAAGTGCTGTACATATGTGACCATTATTATTATTATTATTATTATTATTACTTTGTTTCTGTTACAGTGGGTGGCTAACGCAGAGAACGACATGTACGCTGATGCTGTGATGACGGTGGTAGTGAGAGTAGCTTCAGATCCGGACGCACAGAAATGTGAGTCTATTCTCATTTAGTGATTTGCAATGGCAAGCTTAAAGAGACTTGGTAACATTGTTCAGATGAGAGAAAATGGTGCTAATGTAGTGACTTCATTGCTAGATGTACAATTAAAGATAAACTGAAATTTTGAGTGAAAACAGACTATTATCAATGATAAAAATAGGGATAAACTTATAGCTGATCAATTCCGTAATTCTCCCACCTATATTATTACAATTTAATTACATTTGAGGTGAATGTAAATCGTCACAAACTTAATAAGAATATGAATAATTTAGTTTTAACTGTAACAGTCCCAGTATTACATTCTTGTCTTTTTGTTAATCTTTTCGTAGTCAAGCAGCTACCAGCGAAGAACGATGCCCAGGTGTTCAGCGAGCGCCTCATGGTCTTACTAAGGGACATGTTCGGTCAGAGTACGGTCAAGAACTTTGCAGATACCGATGACCTCCTCGTCTGTATGGACGGCAAAGAGGCCAGGGTCAACATTGAATCACTGGTCAGTTCATACATCAGTTCATACATCAAAGTTGCAAAATAACCCGCTATTTTAACTAACCTGGGGGGTGTTTCACAAAGATCCTAAGTCAAACTTAACTCTAACTTGGACTTAAAAATTATGGAGAGCCATTTGTAGCCTTAAAAACAAATATATTCAAAATCGAAAAATCAAGTATTTTAGACTTTTTATAAATTTGACATCAAGAACATACAATCTCCTTGATAATAGAAAATATGAATAATTTGAATAAACATTTTGTGCCTTTTAAAATAACTTATACAAAATATTTTCAAGGATGCTAATGGCTTTCCATAATTGTTAGGTCCAACTTAGAGTAAAGTTGGACTTCGGATCTTTGTGAAACACCCCCAAGATCTCAAATTAGCCAGCTATTTTGAGTCTTCATCAGCCCGCAGTTGTAATTAGCAGGCTATTCGGTCGAGAAAATTATCCCGAGAAATATTGGTCTTGTTTCCAAAATAGCCCGCTATTTGGGGATTAGCAGGCTAATTTGCACCCGTTTGTGATGAGCGTATCGGTCTTAAATGTGAAAATAATGGGTTATTTTGCAACTTCGGTCTGATGAAGCAGACCTAAAGGGAATTTGACACAGTTTTGGGGAGTTTACCCAATAATAGGTCTGGTCTATGACCCTTAGCTCGTAGTTGTCATATTTTTAATAGGAGGGCATTTGAAGAGCCATCCTTTTCAGGGGACATTTTGTCTACTATACTCTTGCACACTAATATAAAAGCAATTAATTAAGCACACATACACTTAGCAACTAAATTATTCATACCCTTACTAAGTTTTGGTGAATTTGTATACCGGGTATGTGACAAATTTATTTGTCCCGATAGATTATGTTTCTTGAGAATATGACTTATTGAAGCGTACATCTAGAAGTATTCAACAAAGGCCCTAATCTAACCAGTCAACCTTTCATTCTAGAGTTACGAAAAACACAAAACATCAGATTTACAAAGGGTATGAATAATTTAGTTTTAAATGGTATAGACCAGTTCTGGTCATGTGATTGCATTGTGAAAGAAACGTTGTGGAATCGATCAGAAAAGGTTGATCATCTAGCATATAAGTATTGGTGTGTACTGCAAGGTTCTGGAATCATCAAAATGATAAGATATTTGGCCCAGTCTTGGTAAAGTTACAAGATGTATATGGGACTACCCAATATCTATCCAGGCCGGACAAATATGATCATTTACCAAACATGTCAATACGTAGTGGTTTCCCGGCAAATTTTGTATCATCACGTATTAGTCAAAACATATTCTTTCACATGATTGGTAATCAGAGCTTCCATTTAATTTTTTGAGAAGGGGGCGTTTCCATAACTGGTCTATACCTTTTACTGTATGATGTACCCCCCCCCCCCCCTCCTCTTTCCAGAACTCGACCTTCTCTTTTAATGTTGTGTATACTATTTTTTGTTTCAGGAGGTGAAAAGTGAAGACAAGCAGCTGACAGCCATGGTAACAACTGCTATGAAGCGATTACATGAAGCAATCGACCCTGTAGCCATCGTTAACTAGGATCGCCAATCATCAAACTCTTAGAGCCACGTAACAGGATTTGCGTTGACTAATGTGAAGAGATAACATGACGCTATCAGCCATGTTGCTATTGTCAACCAGAATCACCAATCTTCTAACTCTTAGAACGATATACCAAGATTCTTGTTTAACTACTACAAAGAGATTACATGAAGCAATCAACTCTGTTGCTATCGTCAACTAGGAATCGCCAATCGTCAAACTTGTAGAACCATGTACCAAGATTCATGAAGATTGCTATGAAGGGATTGCATGAAGCAATCAACCCTGTAGCCATCGTTAACTAGTCTTAGGAATCGTCAAACTCTTAGAGCCATGTACCAAGATTCATGGTAACAACGGCTATGAAAAGACTACATGAAGCAATTGACCCTGTAGCCATCGTTAACTAGACTAAGGAATCGTCAAACTCTTAGAGCCATGTACCAAGATTCATGGTAACAACTGCCATGAAGAGATTACATGAAGCAATCGACCCTACTGCTTTCGTCAGATAGGAATCAGCTAGTATCAAAGACCTGTAACCTTGTCCCTTTAAAGGCACACTGTCCTACTTGTAGCTACTTGCTCCCTCTATATAGAAAACTTCCCAAATCGGTGCCTGTTGGTCCCCCATGATCCTCTTTTTCTTATGTTAAATGAGAGCTGAGTTAATGAGATAGCCACCTGTCACAGTGACCTTGTTGGCTCGCTGTGTGGTCTAATCCCTTCTAGTTGCAGTAGTAACGCCTACCTTTAACTTAGCCATGCAAAATGCTACGTATGACTGGGCCCTGTTTCATGAAACTTGATATCAATAACAAGTTACCAGCTACTGTTATAAGCTACTGAAATCAGGCATCTGATTGGCTGAGAGCAAACTTGATATCAATAACAAGTTACCAGCTACTGTTATAAGCTACTGAAATCATGGCATCTGATTGGCTGAGAGCAAACTTGATATCAATAACAAGTTACCAGCTACTGTTATAAGCTACTGAAATCAGGCATCTGATTGGCTGAGAGCAAACTTGATATCAATAACAAGTTACAAGCTACTGTTATAAGCTACTGAAATCATGGCGTCTGATTGACTGAGAGCAAACTTGATATCAATAACAAGTTACAAGCTACTGTTATAAGCTACTGAAATCATGGCGTCTGATTGACTGAGAGCAAACTTGATATCAATAACAAGTTACCAGCTACTGTTACAAGCTACTGAAATCATGGCATTTGATTGGCTGAGAGCAAATTTGTCATAGAAATTTAGCAGTTGTTATAGATAACAAGTTTCATGAAACAGGCCCCTGGCTTAATCCTGGTAGGAAGATATTATTAGGTCATTGACCCTGTACATATGTTCAGCTAGGAAAGAAGAGGAGAGGAAGCAAAAATGAGGGGCGTGAAGAGAGGGAGAGAGAAGGAAAGAGAGAGAGAGAGAGAAGAGAGAGAGAGAGAGAGAGAGAGAAGTAGATAGAGAGAGACAGACAGACAGAGAAAAGGAGAGAGAGAGAGAGAGAGAGACAGACAGACAGAGAAAAGGAGAGAGAGAGAGAGATTCAGAGAAGGCTGTAAATCTCATTCCATTTATGTTTTAAAACATATCTTGCAAAACAGTATTTAAGAATACCTTGTTGCATGAATCATTGTACAATAATGTGTACTGTACATACACTGTATATGCTCATGGCAAATGTAAATTAACTTTTTTTCTTCAAATAAATGAAATAAGTATAAAAGGTACATTTTGCTTTGATGTGTTTCAATTTTGATAGTCCACAACCCTTTTTTAAATACAGTGTGTACATGTTCAGTCAAACCTTTCTATGAAGGCCCCCTACGGGTGTGGGTCCTGTAGACAGGTGGCCTTTCTGAACAGGTTCTTCAACAAACACTTCCTTCTCAAGGAAGGCCATGTGGGTTACTACTATAGACAAGAGAGGTGGTCACTAAGGCAGGTTCGACTTATGTATACACACACACACACACACACACACACACACACAAACATGTCTATTGAGGCCACCTACAGGAAATACAAAGAGTGGCCCTGTAGAAAGACGGCCTTTGATTTAAGGGATTGCGTTTAAACGTAACTTTCTTGCAACGCCCTATAAGATGGGTTTGACTGCATATGAAGTAGCTTTGACATTGGCTTGTGAAAGAGAGAGGGAGATATGGAGAATCAGGAATCAATAGGGAAAACAAGAAATATAATGTAAGAGTACAAAGTATGTAGAGAGCGAGAGATGAAGTATATGGGTGTGTGTATTTGTGTTGGGAGATGAAAAGAGAGACGAGAGAAGCAGAGGAAGAAAGAAAAAACAATACCAGATAGCGAAAGTTATGAATGTTTGCAATATGAGATCACTACAGCTATGCAAATCTCAAATTGGCAATTTTGTCAGTAGATTGTGACGTCCTGACGGATAACGTTCCCGTTTGTTGTGTGAAAAATATCATTAACCACTCAAAATATATTATGGAGAGTATGCTAGTACGGGGCCCGTTTCACAAAGCCCTTTTTCAGTGACAAATGACAAAAATCGGTGACAAATCTGTTGATGACCAATCAGAAGCAAGGATTTCATTAGCTTATAACAAAAAATGTCATTTGTTACTGATGACAAGTTTTGTGAAACACCCCCAGGTCCTCCAAAAAAAGAAACGACCATGCCGAGTCGTACATTTTCGAAAAATTGCAATTTGAGTTATTTTGTATCTTGGAACAAATGGGAAAGTTGTCAGCCACTACATAACATTACAGAGACATTTAACGATTCAGGCAATTTCTAGAACCAATACTTACCTGTGTTGGCGTCTGTTACAACGATCACCGCCTTGCCATCATATCAAGATCGACCCATATAAGACTCGGTTGACTAGGCTGTGACCCATATAAGACTCGGTTGACTAGGCTGTGAGAAAGCACTTCTACTTCTACGTGTTTCCAACGACATTATGTGTGCTTTCGATAATGATGACGTATCAGCTCTAGTGCTCCTAGATCTCAGCCCGGCTAGCCTGCGACACGGTAGATCATAAACTCCTCCTTTCATGTCTCAAGAGTCACCTGGGAATAGATGGACAAGCTTTGAAATGGTTTAAATCATATTTATCATATCGCCCTCAGCGCACATGTCCGTATCGGTAGCTCTAAACTCTAATCTCTAAATCTCTAGAACTTTGCGAAGGACCAACAACATCCATGAACCCAGGTGCAAAAGTAAACGTATGCAGAATAGCCCCAACCCAGATTTGATCCGCATGTTTAACATAAGTTTTGTATGATTGTATTATACTTTGAAACAAATTAAATTATCAAATTTCTTTTTTATTACAATTTCATATTCCTTAGTATATAATTAATTCATAAATCTGAGGTCTGATATTTTACAAAGTAAGTCAATGTATTATTTTATGACATGAAGTATGCGATGCATATTTATATTAATATATTTCTAGTATTCACCTTATAATATTCATATTTGTTTTGCAATGTATCTTTTTATTTTATCAGCATGCACATAATTGGTTCCCCCTCTTTCTATCTGTCCTGTCTCTCTCTCTCCTGTTTTCCCATCTCTCTGTTTTTAAAACTCAAATTGTTTTAATTAAAATATTTTAAAAGATTAATGATATATAGTATACATATACACGCTATTCATAATTATGTACCTTGTAGTGTGATATCTTGAAATATATACTTGTTTTTTCTTCCATCAATTTATGTGCAATTCATTTGCTTGCTACTGTGATATCTCTTGAAATGTGTAATTGTATTTGCCATCAATGTTTCATTCATGAGCAATTCAGTTATTTGTAACTGCGATACATGGAAATGAATCAATAAATACCATTTATCTATCCATCTATCTATCTATCTAAACCTGTGTATCAAGATTATTCTGTTCCCCAAAGGATCTTTTTTGGATCTTATTGACGAGTCCTCTGCTTGATGTGATAATGGAGCACAATGTACATTACGATTTTTACGCACATGACACTTAATTGTACTTGGTTAAAACCATCCCAATGTAATGTTGATATAGTTATCAAAACTCTTGAATCATGCCTTAGGTCGGTTAGTTAGTGGATAAATGATACCTTTCTGAAGTTAAATGAAGATAAAACTTAATAATAATGATAATAATAATAATAATTGGATTTATATAGCGCCTTTTCCAAATGTTACTTAGTAAATGTTGATAGGATCTGCCAGGTAGTTAAGTATTTTTTCTACACAAAAGATCATCATTGACAATTCAGAAATAAAATGTGTTAATCAGGTTCGTAATCTTGGAGTTTTGTTTGACGCTGGAATGACCGTGAAGTCTCAGACTTCAAATATTGTTAGTTCAGCATCATTCCATTTTCACAATATTTGAGCAGATTGTTTATTCTTTTATTACATGTCGTTTGGATATGTGTAGGCCTAATTCGTTGTATATTGGCCTTCTTCAAAATCATTAGCCCGTCTGCAACGAGTTCAGAACATGGCAGCTCGGCTCGTCACTCTCCGTAGTAGATCAGACTAGGGGCGGCCGAGCGACTTCCAAAGGGGGGGGGGGCACCAACAAAAAAGGGCACTTTTGGGGAAAAAGGGCACCTACAATGGGAAATCTCAAAGCGAAAATATCCTTTTTTTTTACATTGGTATATACCCCCTACATTGTAATTACATTATCAGGAATGATTTTAATATTTGTTTCTCTTTATACATATATTGCTTTTAATAAAGCATTTTACTTTGCAGTTGGGTGTGATGTTTGAACATTCGTGAGGTCGCAGTGCGAAAAATTACATCTTATAAAGAGGAACAAACCCAATCCTGATGGGGTTATAAACACATTCTCATAACGGAAGACTGAAATGACTTTTGATAAGCCAGTAATATAATTATATCATTTATAAATGCGAGCGAGCGTAGCGAGCGAGCCTTGGGGGAAGTTGCTCTTAGTCGCTTTAAATTATAGGGGCACGTTTAATGATGAGAGAAAAAGGGGACATTTATCGAAAGGGATAAATTAAGACACTTATTAGCAAAGGCGGCCTTCCGAGAAAGGCGGCTTTCAGAGAGAGGAAGGCCTAAATAGTAAATTTCCGACTGAGTTGGCTCGAAATGTGCCCAAGTCTGCGGACGAAAGTATACAACAAAAAGAAAACAGAAGTTATATAAAAATTGTCTTTAAAGGTACTATGTCCCATTTGCAGGCCAAAACAATGAAAAAGTTAAATTCCAACTGCATTTGAAAGATAATACTTATTTAGAACTTCCCTAAAAAAGGTGGGGCTTGAAAATGTCTTCAAGTGGGAAAATAATGACTATTAGTTGTCAAATCGACTTTAGGGCTATAGAGCCCAAAAGTAATAGTCTTGATTTTCAGACAATTGTACAGAATGGTCATACGTTTTATGCTGCGCAAAGATTTAATCAGTTTAATCTTGGCCATCACAAGAAGTGGGTTATTGATGTAGACAAATGCTCATGTACCCTTTACAACTCTTTTCATGTATGTTATTACCAAAGAAGAAAAAAAGCCAGTCAGTCACTCAATAGTGTCTGACTGTGAAGTCTAGCAAGTAAACAGGTTAAATTTCACAGATAGGACATACACGTCATATTCATAATTCCTGCAAAGTTCTACAGAATTTGAGGTTGGCTGCAAAAGGGACATAGTACCTTTAAGAGAGAAAAAGAGGTTATTTCTAAAATGAAATGAAAGGAGGAAATTACAATTTATATCGCTCGTGACGACTATTACGAATTTCCTAATTTAAACAAAATTCAAATACTTCCTGGGGCTCCGCCCCAAGACTCCCTGCAAAGGCAAATTATTTACACAATTTCTTGCTGTCTGCGGTCAATTACCCCTGCGACATTTGATCCAAGTGCGCGATTTCGTCATCGCGGTTTGTCATTTTTGTCTATCCGTGTATACACAAATCGTGCCAGGTTGGATGGGGAGGAGGGGGGGGGGGGTGGGGAGCACAATCGTTGATGCCCATCGACGTTGGGGGGGGGGGCTGTGTGTACTCTATGTATCAACGCTAGAGCGAATTTCTGGGGCAGCTGCCCCCATACCCCACACACACTTGCTGCACTGTTGGGCAGACGTGAAAGCTACGTTCTTTTTCAATAACATTGGAGAATTTTCGGTGGAGCTTTATTTGTCGTCCAGTTATTTTTATCACCCACATTCAATTCCAGCTATAACAAAAAAATACCCCTTTTTTTCTCCATCACTGGTATTTCTTCTACCATTACTGGCATCAATATTGGTTCCCCCGGAATTGCCGCCCTGCTAGATTTTCACACGTCTTCCCTCATTTTTGAAAGAATGCCCCCCATAATTGCCGCCCCTAAATGCAATACTATACAATGTATTTCCAAAAGCTTTCCTAAGGTTTGAAAGAAATTTCACGATTCTTCTGGAAGAGCCATTCATGATTGCAGGGCTTTATTTTCAAATGTCTTCCCTCAGTTTTGAAAGAAATTTCATGATAGTAACATATTAAGGAGCTGGTTGGGGTATTAGAGGAAAGGAGGTCCCATCCTGTTATAAGAACATTGTGATGAAAATAATCTTGATTCCTCATGTTCATTCATCATATTCTCTTGCCCATCTGTTTTCTTCCATGTTCTCTCTTGCTCACTCTCTGCATATATCCCTCTCCCTCTCTCCCTCTCTCCCCCTCTCTGTCTCTCTCTGTCTCTTTCTCTGTCTGTCTCTCTCTCTCTCTATATATATATATCTCATTCTTGCACTTCCTTGCCCTTCCTTTATCCCCTTTCTCTACTTACCTTTTCATTATATTGTCGCCGTTGTACCGTCTAAGCTGTCTTTTGTGCCAAATAACTGATATTGGAGTTGTAATTTTTCCTCGATTTTCAGAGAGTAAACTAATTTATAAATGTCTCTTTTTCAATGTAGGGATGAAATTTACAAGATTTGTAATCTTTCTTTTGTCCCAACTCGTTTAAAACCAAGCTTTATTTGTATTTATTGTCATGATGTTTGTAATTTTATATTTTTTACTCTTTTTTGTATTTGTATTTTATGTGGTTTTAATGAGAGAATAAATTGAACTGAATTAAATTTAAAAACACGTAGCCCTCATGTAATTCTACGTACATTTACATGTTGTTTTATGTAAATCTTCCAAACATAATATGCCTCAAGCGAGTGGATCTTATGCATTCATGTGCGTTCTTTATATATTCTGAGTTCGTTATTGATAGACCCCAAACAAAAACTAATATGCCCTAGCTTAATAATAGCTCCAGCCAAAGGTGCAAACTCTTGATAGAACCAGTGGAACCATTGTAACGAAAGAAAGTAACATGGGTAAAGAAGAAGAGGAAAAAGAAGAAGAGGAAAAAGAAGAAGAAAAGAAGAAGAAGAAGTAGAAGAAGAAGAAGAATTAGAAGAAAAAAAGAAGAAGAAGAAGAAGGAGAATTAGAAGAAGTAGTAGAAGAAGAAGAAGAATTAGAAGAAGAAGAAGAGGAAGATGAATTAGAAGAAGTAGAAGAAGAAGGAGAATACAAAGAAGAAGAAGAAGAAGAAGAAGAAGAAGAAGAAAAAAAAAAGAAGAGAAAAAGAAGAAAAAAAGACTAAAAAGAAGAAGAAGAAGAAGAAGAAGAAGTAGAAGACGAAATGAAGAAGAAGAAGAAGAAGAAGAAGAAGAAGAAGAAGAAGAAGAAGTAGAAGAAGCAGAAGTAACAAAGAAAAAGGAAAGAAATAGATGTAGAAGAAGATGGAAAGGACGATATTTTCTTTCCTGGAAAACCCCAAGCCCATAATACATGTATACACCATTGGTTGTCGGATCTAGGGGCTGGGAGTAATTAAGATCTCTGGGGTTTTTGGGGGTGTTTTGTATAGTTTTTGTTTACCCTGACTGCTAAGTGAGCAAGTGTATAGGTAGGCAACCAGGGGACTTACGGCATAAATCCTTGGTAATGAGGAATAATGTCCTACCTAAGCCTAAGGGCACTAGCTCAGCTCATCGGACTGGTTTCAAACCATGGAGTCATCACGGCTCCTGCTTAAAATGTGATGACCCAACTTCTTTGGCTTGCTTGCATTAGAATTTTCGAGGAAAACCCCCAAAGTTTGATACAATTTTCCTTTTATTCCATATTTTGTTCTTCTCTGTTGCCTTTTGAACATGAAATCAAATTTTGGGCTTTTAAATACCATGTAGTATTGCCTTAGCAAACAGGATCGGACTACGGTATAATGTCATTGTAGTGTTTGCGACATATATTTCAAAACTAAAAGGTAATCGACAAGGCGGCGATTGACATCGCCTTGATTCTTCGAAACCTTTACGATCATGTTTTGATTGCAAGTGGGAGGTTTTAAAAACGTGTGCCCCCGGCAAGTTATCATCACGTTTTTTGAATACATCTATTTAACAAGCAGACACAAACAACGTTACACATGGTACTCAGCTGTGAGGCCGATTTTATTGAAAGATTACACAAAATATAAAATCTTGATTACCAATATTTTGGTTACATTTCCTATAATCGTTTTATTTTCTTCATTAAGAGTAGAGTTATTGTTCATAAACTTCCTTGCTGTTTTTCAGACGAATACAAATATTTAGAAAATAAAAGGAAAAATACCACAATTTAATCTAATCAACAACAAGATAATCAAAAATATTACTTACACGAATCTTAAGTAACAGCCTATCTAACCATCAAAATACGAGCAATTACATAAAACAAATACACAAGTAATTTGTTTATAGTACACGATTCAACAATATATTTGTTCAGTGTATATATAGTTATTAATGGACCACAATTTGATGTTAATAAATATCTTAATTTTTTTAATATTTCAAAGTCAGACTTATGTTCATTTTGTTATAACTCCGTGGAATCTATAGAACATTTACCTTGGGATTGCCCAATCATTAGAAGGTTTATTGCGGATGTCCAACATTTCATTTTTACAGGATAAAGTTACTTTGAATAAAATTAATTTCTTATTTGGACTTTATGGAAACGTTGGAATTCAATTTAATTGTATTATTTTATATGTCAAACACTATATATTTTCAAAAACAAATGCAGAAATAGCGTACTATCACTAAATTCTTTTAAATGCATGCTAAAGTATTATAATTCTCTTACACAGTACATTTATGTTAACAATAACAAATTTGTATATTTTGATAATAGGTGGAAAAACATGTTGTTGCTTTAAAAAGAATTTACAAAAAATCTGTACCACCATGTCCTATATAATCAGTTATATGATTGTTGTTGATTCCATTGGCTATATTATGTATGTATGTATGTATATATATATGTATATATGTATATATGTATATATATATATATATATATGTATATATCTATGTTTTGTTATGTTATGCAAAGTCGAAAGCAATATTGAATAAAAATGATTTTATTAAATAAAACAAATACAACTATGTTACACACTACAAAAATATAAAAAATATTTAAGAATGGACCAGAATTTTGAAATGTTTCTTTTTGTGTTAAAATTTCAAAAGATGAATATGCCAATGCTTTTAAATGTTCCTATATTAGAAACATATACCCTCAAAACAGCTTGTGTCTCAATCTCAAAGACTAAGTATCTACAACAGATTCTTTTTCATCATGAAAATATTTGAGCAACTTCGCTACTATGGTCCCCAGAACATTAAAAAAATATGTCTAATAACCAACTAAAAGAGGAACATACATGTGAGCAAAAACAACGAGAACTACCTTAGAAATACACAAAATAAAAAAGAAGTCTAAGCTTATCGATATGATTTACATTTTCTAGGGCCAATCCTCAATGAGTCACATATACACTCATGTGAGAAAAGGCTTTTTTACACATGATATTTCTACGAAAAGATTTGCCAACCATTTGCTTACGTCATTGGAAGTTTGTTCTTTGAATTAGAATTCTGATTTTAGGATATAATCTCAATTGGCATGAGCAGTTAATACATTATTCTCCTCCTCATCCTGGTACAATGTTCTTAAACGATCCCTTTTTTGTGTTTGTATTTTAATGTGTCAAGCAATAATATTACAAGATTGCAAATTATCAATGAAAAGAGGCAGTCGGTAACTCAGACTCATGTTACCTAGTCTGAAATGTTCGTAATGCAAGAATAAAGGAAACTGCATCTACAAAGCTCCTGTCGAGCTGTGCTTTGAAACCACTAAAACTAACTACGTACGTCGGAACCTCTAAATAAAATATCTCCATGCACGGAATCATACAAACCAATGAGAATGTGTAGCTGGTTTTTACAAAACGCTTTTGTTTCTTCCTTGATTTTCTATACATCGACCGATGGACATTTGTGTCTCTATGATTGAAGTGACCCTAAATAAGGACAGAATGAAAATAACGGAAGAACAAAATGGTTAACGAGAATAACAAGGATTGGCCCACGATAAGTCCAATCCCATATTCCGCATGGGCCTTTTTTCTTGTTTATGGATCGGTTAAGGACACATCATGAAATCAAACATACATGTTTTTTAACTAAAACAGCGACCCCTTTTCTACTTTTTGAAGGCCCTATGTGACGTCAGAGGGTGACAATTTTTTTTACTATCCCCCTTGCATGGGGAGAACTGCTTTATGAGTGGTGAGCCGATGGTGATGGTAATGATGATGATGATTATTATTATTATTATAATTAGTAGTAGTAGTAGTACTATTATTATCCTTAGTAACAATAAAATCATTATTTTGTATTACCATTATAATAATAATGATGATGATGATGATGATGATTATCATCACAATCATTGTTATCATTATCATCGTTGTTATTATCGTTAAGTCATAAAGAATAAAATTAAGATGACTCTTTTCCAAACTCACCCTGTTTATCGCAAACAGTTTCTGTTTCTTCCTATCTTTACGGGACACTGCCCTCAATGACGCGTTCCTCAGCCACACGCACGAACCCCTCGCAGGGAGCGCCAACGTCATCTGAAGGAAAAGGCCACGAATATTTAATAGAAAACAAACATAACAAAAAAGGGATTTAAAAGATGAAAATTTCATTGAGCATAAAGACACAAGTTGAACGAAGAACTACTAAGGTAAGATTGCAACTATTTAAAAAATCAACCTCATGCAATTTCACTGTACTTTGACGTCACTGTTTTAAATGTGCGAACACTACAATGACAAAATAACTTGAATACGTTTCATATGGAAAAATGAATAAACTCTCATATTCAATGGCGATATAGGCATACACGCGATCATTTATGCATGGTATGCGCAGGGGATATCGACAATCCACAATCGTAAGATTAAGATAATATGAGCAAAGTTTCAGAACAATACGGAAAAGAAAGAAAGAAAATGAGTTTAAATATCAACAACGATTAATTGTGAAGTCAACACACTAGAGAAAAAGAAGTAGGGGAAGGAGTAGGAGGAGGAGGAGGAGAAATAGGAAGAGAATGTAGGACGAAAGATAGAAAGACAGTCTTGTTCTTACAAACGGGGGTTCCGGCGTCGGCAAAGTTGATGAGCCATCCCTTGTCATCGCTAAACTCACTGGTTTGGAAAGTCATCCATACTGCGTTTTTGCGGGAGAAGTATCTACCAGGATCTGGTAAGCCATGGCCACTGTGGTTTCTGACAATGATATCCCCGCTCTCCAGGAAGCATCCGTCTCCGATGTTCATAACGTCTTGGAAATCTCGTTCCGTGTTAAACTCCAGAAAATTGACCAGTATCCTTTTACCAGGGGCACCGATGATATGATAGTAACATGTCTCTCCATTGTTGTAGTTGTTGGGGAAGTTTGGCGAACCGATTGTGATGGAGCCTTCGGGTGGGATGGAGAGGTGACCACTGCAATCTGAAGATGAAAGTAATCATAACATGGTTTCTCGTTAGGAATTTGAAAACATTCGGGCGTTACCAACCAATAGTGAGAGTCGCCTGCATTTTCCGACCAACAGGCCTGTGTAAAGCACTTTATCCTTCACCAACCGCCACATAAGGAAAGCTCATCATCATAAATTTCCCTTGCAGACTGGGGTTAAGTAAATTATTGGTGGGACATCCAATTTTCCTGTGTGGGATACTTGTAGGCCTTTGTAGGCTAGACACATATTATTCCTACAAGTAAGGTGTTATTTTAAATTATGACATAACAACATTATATATGGAAGCTGCCGATGGTGTGCCTTTAAGAAGTTGTTACCATGAAACAGAAAGAAAAGCCCTCTAAAAAATTCAAATAATGAGAAGTGTATATGCATATAGCTTGCGTGGTTGCTGTATATAATAGTGTGCCAATCCTCAAAGTGAAGAATAACAAACCCTCGTTATAAACAAGGTCAAGGTGATTTGTCGATCCCAGCTATTTGTTTTTTGTTGTTTCTAGCCCTGGACCGGGTATAAGAAGGTTTCACTGGAACAAGGTCATTTCATTGGTCTCAAGTTTGTTAAAAACAATTAACCACTGTATATACATGACATGATATTGAGGTAAGCTTGATTTTGTCCCGTTCCGTTTGTAATAATGAAGGAAAAAAAAGCAATGAAATAACAGTATAATCAAGATAGAATGAGAGGAAAATATAAATAACAGATTAAAATGCAGCACCTATCATGGATACATATTGGAAGTAAAGCAGTTTCAACTATTACAGGTCATAACTCCATTTACGAACATTTTTAATATTTTTTATAATAATTTTGCCACTCGCACATTATTTGAGTTCATTGTTAGTATTTATATAGGCTATAAATCCTTGGAAATAAAGGGATTTACTCTAAATTTAAAAAAAAAAGTATAAATGTTTTTTTGAGGTAACCTAAATGTCACGTAGTTCGGGCCTGAATCCAAATACGTAAGTCAGTCATGAAATCACAAATACTCTATATGTTGTTTAACACAATTTTTGCATGCATATCTTTGTTCAATATATTCACCTCCAAATTAAGAATTTCCATCATGCCGTTATTATTCTTGAACCTCGGCTTGCGCCCCCCCCCCCCCCCACACACTCAGAGGTCGGAATGACCGCATGCGTGTTGCCAAAATGTCCGGTAAAGGGGTACTTTTCGTGCGACAAAGTCCTGCCCGAGAATTGTAAAAAAAGGGGTGTATTTCACTTTTCACCCGGAGATTTCTTTAAAAGGGGGTATTTTTTCTTTTTTTCTCTCATCTCTTTGGACTCCTGAGAAATAATTCCGAATTTAGGGGGTACATAGAGCATTTTTCCTGATTTAGGGGGGTCTCCAAGGCAGGAAAAGCCCGCGAAAGGGGGGTTCGAAAATGTTGGCAGTCCTCAGATAGGGGGTGCTTTCAAAAAGAGGGAACAAGCATATGCGTACCCTAAATAACACTGAGTGGGGGGGGGGGGGGGGGGGGGACCGGGCCTGCGGCAACGGTAAAATAAAGCATCACTCGGCAAATTGGGTTACCACCTTGAAAATATTTAATTCACTTATCCAGCTGCAGCCTCCTTCCATATTAGTAGGAGACCAGCCTGTAGGTCCCGTGACCAATCTCTGGGAACAAAGGTTTGAAAGTGTTTTTGTGTTCCCTGATGAATACCGAACCATTTTGACTTGGGCTGCCCCCTTGAAAATCCCGGGCATTTCCGTGAGGGGTCAACAAAGGTCATACAGGGTAGAAATTCAAATATATTTTAATCGTGTCGATATGCATATCACATTACTCGTCTGGCCATGAGGATTCCAAAAATGTATAGTTTGCTATACCTCTGACCTCAAATAAGGGCGCTATAGTAAAAAACGTTGAAAGGTCAACACACTTTTGACCGGTGGTCGAATTCACCAACACAGTTAACCTTATCAAATTGCATATCAAATTACTCGTCTGGTCATAAAGATTCCCAAAATGTATAGTTTGTTATACCTCCGACCTTAAATGAGGGCGCTATGGTAAAAAAAGGTCAATGCACTTTAGAAATTTACCAACACAGTTAACATTGTCCGATTCTAATGATTTAAGGGTCTATAATATGTTTTCTGACATGGCAAATTCAACTATTAAACTTTCAAAAGTAAAAGTGCTTAACTTGACCATGTACATTCAAAATGGCTGCCGTTTCGGTGACAAACATCTAGCAACTTCTTATCCATGGGTTTGAGGGAAATTTCAAGGTTATGGCAACCACTTTTGATTTTAAGAGTTGCTTAGTTGATTTTGTTATGTCAGAAAACATATTATTATACATTTACATCATTAGAATCGGACGATGTTAACTGTGTATGTGAATTTCTAAAGTGCATTTACCTTTTTGACCATAGCGCCCTCATTTGAGGTCGGAGGTATAACAACCTATACATTTCTGGAATCCTTATGACCAGACGAGTAATTTGATATGCAATTGAATAAGGTTCATTGTGTTGGTGAATTTGACCATTAGTCAAAAGTGTGTTGACCTTTCAACATTTTTTACCATAGCGCCCTTATTTAAGGTCGGAGGTATAGCAAACTATATATTTTTGGAATCCTCATGACCAGACAAGTAATTTGATATGCATATTGACAAGATTGGAACTATTTGAATTTCTATCCCTGTGTGACCTTTGTTGACCCCTCACGAAAATGCCCGGGATTTTCAAGGGGGCAGCCCAAGTCAAAATTGTTCGGTATTCATCAGGGAACACAAAAACACTTTCAGACCTTTGTTCCCAGAGATTGGTCACGGGAACTACAGGCTGGTCTCCTACTATATATATTTACAAATTCGAATTGTGAAGAAAGTACCACTAGAGAATCAACAATCTATTTGCCGTTGCACACGAGGTGTCATTTTACGAAGTCAAATGCTCAAGACGCACTAGTGAAAAAGATGGAATTGCACTAAAAGCCTCTGCCATATACCCAAGAGAACAACAAGAGTAAGATAGAACATACCAAAATGAAAGAGAACAGTTAATTATATGCCAAATCAAATAGATAAGTTTCAAGATTATTTTGCCTTCATTGTCCTCATGAGGTTGATAGACGCATATCGTGACGCAATAAGTCAATTCATAGGCACTATCTGCGCATGGGCAAACAAAGGTCATTACTATAAAAACTCATCCAGACAATCGAATGCTCATTAAGTGCTCCTGAAAGTAATGCAATCAGTATTCTGACACAAAGTTGTAAGTATAATTTTCAAAAGGGCAAACAAAAAGTATTCGAGAATTAGCGCTCCAACAGCTTTAGCGGTGATTATTCTGAAATGAAGAGTGGGACTTTCCATGTTTAAACGAAAAGGTAATTTTCTTAATGTAAAAAAATTGTATTGCATAAGTCCTTGATCAGTGTCTCATTACAAATTATTTCGTTCTGGTGTTACGAATAAATGTATTTTAATAAGCAGAATGCAAATTGCATACATTTGTTGTTGCTAGGTACGACAAACATAATGGCTTGCCCTACCTAACAACAAGTAATGCATGCAATTCGCATTCTGACTATTGAAATACAATTATTCGTAACAGGTGAACAAAATAATTTGTAACTAGGCACTTGACAAAGATTTATGCATTAAATTTGATTACATTACGAAAATGGCCTATTGCCGATATTTTGGGTTATTTTCACAAGTGCTATCGACGAAATGATTACTAAAGGCTCGTTCAGATATAACGCGGCAAAACCACGACGTTTTTTTTAAGGTGACATAAAGTGTAATATGCTTCATATTTATGTATTTTATAACACAGAATTCAGTGAATGCGCACGAGCAGTGTCGCAATGACACACCGTTTTGGGGTCAGAAACAAATCCGCATCACCACCAGGTGGTGTAATGGGCAATTGTTTTTTTAAGGGGGGGGGGGGAGGATGCGGATATTGACGACAAGAAAATAGCCCGGAAAATCATGTCATTTCAAAATCACTGGTATTGAATTTAAAATAAACCACGTTTGAATGTTATTCCCCCCCCCCAAGCCCGTCCCCTCGGTACCCCATTGCCCGCAAGTCCTTTGTTGAGCGCAGTTGCCATTCAATTACACCTAAACAAAAAAACGCGGCGGTGTGTTTTTGCGCCTGTTCACCGCACTATAGCTGGACGAGCCTTAAATGACGAGAGACCTACTTGTATAGGGTATTGCTTCCACGACCATGGTCCAACCGGATAATTCATAGTCGGAATCTGTCATGAACCGGACCCAAAGATTCTGAGCGTATGTTAGGACTTCTTTAGGCTTCTTTCGGCCGCTGTGAGTGATAAAAATGCTCTCGTTGTCTTCGGTATCCGTTCCGTTGCCAACGATGACGATGTCGCGGTATTGCTCGGTTAGGAACTGCGGGAAAAAGAGGCGGATTTGGCCACCAAAAGGAATCTCGATCTCCCACAAACAGTCAAGGAATTTTCTGTACGTAGAACCACCGGGTGAGTCAATCACCAGCTTGGTAGTGAAGAATCCTCCTACGACCTCGCCACCACAATCTGAATTGGATTAGAGAAGGTATAGTAGCAGAGGTGTATATTGAATCATTAGACTCTAGACCTAGAAGACAAGCTGCTTACTTTAATGTTTTGATTTTAATAATAATGATGATGATGATAATAATAATAATAATAACAATACAAATTATTAAAAATGACAATAAAGCGCATATCTCCATCTTTAGCGATGCCTAATTAAGGCGCTTAAAAATTAATTCAAAAGCTCAAAACTTAATCAATATAAATGAATCAGGAAATCAATGTATGATATTTTATCTGGCTTCTTGTCGATCCGGAGTTGATCTCCTCAGTTACCGAGGTATCAACGGAGGTATCAAAGTACCATTTTTAATCAGGTAGAATTTACTAGCGATTTTATAAATCAATTACTGGAAGTACTCGTAAGTGCTCCGCGATGTTCCGCCAGTTTTGGGAGACACTCTTTTTTTCATTATTCCTTGGTTCCGTAAGTCCAGAACAAAAATTATGAACATTTGTTGCGATATTCCGAAAGTTCATAGTTCCAAAAGTTAAATAGGGTAGGTTATTCAGAAGGTTTGTATTAATTCAGAAAATCAAACACGGTCGTTATTCTGAAGATTGGCAATTAGCCATTCCGAATAACAATAAAGGGCTTATAAATATATGTAATTTTCGGCACAAGTAACCTTCGGAATATGAATCCCATTTCATTTTCAGAATTACGAACCGTATTTCATTTTACAAGCTATGAACCCCCTTTCAATTTTGGAATTAAGAACCTTCAGAATTATGAACCTTCAGAATTATGAACCTTTAGAATTACGAACATTCGAGTAACGAATTTTTGTAATTACAAACCTTCGAGTTAACCTAAAGGTATACACCAGTTTTGGAAACGCCCCCCTCTCAAAAAATGAAATGGAAGCTCTCATTACCAATCATGTGAAAGAATATGTTTTGACTAAAACTTGATGAAATAAATTTTGCCGGGAAACCGTCTACTAATTGATATATTTGGTAAATTATATATTTGGACCAAATAGATAACGCGCACGTGTCGTGTAGTCCCAAATACATCTTTCTGTGTACAGTGCTTGTAACTTTACCAAGACCAAATTACCAGGGCCAAATTTGTTATCATTTTGATGATTCCAGAACCTTGCAGTACACACCAATACTTATATGCTAGATGATCAACCTTTTCCAATAGATTCCACAACGTTTCGTTCACAATGCAATCACATGACCAGAACTTCGGAATTGTCTATGAATGTTCTCAATCATGCAGGTATTGGATTATTAACATCACATGTTATAAACAAATCAACTGGACTTACTTTCACGTCAACTCCAGGACGCTGCATCCGGCCGACTGGTCTTTGGTGGCAAATGTCGTTGCCCAGTGACGGGGTCGAGGAAAGTGGTGGGAAATGTCAAGGGATTTGCCACCAAAGACCAAGTGGCCTGTTGAAGCATCCCGAAGTGGACGTGAAATGTCGCAAGCTAAAACAAAGTCCAGTCGAAAATTGAATGTTATTGACCAACTATACAAACGACAGGTAATTAACCTCAGTTCCTAATGGCTTTATTTGGCCTTCACGTGCCCTTCACGGATCGAAGATCAGATGAGAACAAAAAGACTGGGTTCCCCAGAACGGGAATCAGACAGCCTGAAGAAACCTTTAAGAACTGGTGAAACGTCGCAGAACAGTTGTTATTTCCACTCAAGTCTTGTTCACACAGATATACTACGGTTTACCGTGGGGGGCCTACCTGAGGCTCGTTTAAAGGTCGGGTGACATCCAAATGTAAGTTGGTTCCTGTTGATGTGCAGGGCTGCATACAACTCAATATATATCATAGATTTTGAAATATTTTTAGAAATAATTTTCTCAGCCCTGCTAAGCTCCACCCTAGAAAAATGCTCCAGATCTCATTCATCTTGTGACGGTATCTGTCAAGCATTAGTGAGCTAACAATGGACAGTGGTATGTATCTTTACCAGAGATGACCACCTGTTTACAAGAGAACATACAATACTAACATAAGAGTTGCTATGTCAGACGTGCTGTAGCATCACCACGAAAAGAAAGGTAATGTGGAGGTATTGTATGAACGAATGCAATTCTTTTGTGAGCATGTGCTGAGCTGGGCGAAGTTACATACCACTGTCTCTTGTTAGCTCACTAATGATTGACAGATGATGTCACAAGATGAGTGAGATCTGGAGCATTTTTTTAGGGTGCAGCTTAGCACGTCTCAGAAAATTATTTGAACAAATATTTAAAAATCTATGAAATATATTTAGATGTTTAAAAAACTAAATATGAGTTGTATGCTGCCCTGCACATCAACAGAAATCAACTTATATTTAGATATCACCCGACCTTTAAATATGACGTAGTTAATCTCAACAAGGCTTTCAGCTACTGCACCTCCCATTTATGTACCTTGTAAACAAACACAAAAAGTAACTACGTTTGGGACTATAGCATTGTTACGCACATATACCCTTTTTAACCAAACGTGCCATAGGTGAATGGGCCTTTATTAATTTATAACATTGCTCATAATGTCCCGAATGTCGTTCAGAACTTACCTGTGTCAGGCTCCTTGGTAGGAAGAATCTCAGGTGTAAAGTTGGCAGCTGGAAGAGAGAGAGAGAGAGAGAGAGAGAGAGGGGGGCGGATGACGTAAGCAGGAGAGGAGCAAGATCATATGTCGAGCAAGTATGAACTTCAGTTTATTAACATACAAGAGAAAGTAACTTCTGATTAATAACAACTGTTTTATATATTGCACTGTCATGTTATTCCCGTTCTATGTGATGGATATGTGTACCTGAGGGCAAAAGCGGTTAGATTCATTTCCAGCTCCTGTCATATATTGGTACAAGTTATGTTATTACCAATTTGTTAATTATACGAAAAATTAAATAGGTGATGATGATAATTATAATAATTATAATGTACAGACAAAAGTATTATTACCCCGGACTCGGGATTCTGTTACGATTCTGCACTGTACAGTGTACACTCCCCACTACCTTTGTGGAGCATTCCTGGCAGTGGCTCTTTAATGGCGCATGTGCTTAATATCCAAGCGCATTTACGTTCGCAACCTACCGGGTACCAATCCAACACCTTGGTGAAGAGGAGCAATGCAGAAAAAAAATGCCTTGCTCGAGCACATAAGTGCCTTGCTTTGGATCGAACCCATGATTTTGTATTCCTAGTCGAGGGATTAGATCATTAGACTACGATGATAATATAATAATATTAATAATGTTAATAATACAATTCTTTCTCATACTTACGCCTGATCGATGTATCTGATACTTCTACTTTGAAACCGCGATTGGTGATAAAGCTGTCGGATCGGAAGTAGATCCAAGCTTCATTGGAAGGGGTATCGAACCCTGCCGGCTCTGGCAGTCCACTACCACTGGCGCTGTTGATCACATAGTTGGATCCATCGCGAGCCGGGCTGCTCCCGTAGCCAGCGCTCACTGTGTCGTATGTCTCCTCAGTGGCGAAGTCTTTGAATATGACTGAGAGCGTGCGGCCCTCAGATCCCGTGAACTTCCAGATGCAGTTGAGGTTAACCCAGTAACCGAGGTCGGGGAAGAGGGGGAAGGCGACCACGATATATCCATCGTTAGAGATGTTTATTGTGCCACCACAACCTTCAATTAGAAATAAGAAATGTTACAATTTTATAGTGTTAAATTAATTAACAGTATAGTGCACATATCCTCCTCATAAGGTGATCACGGTGCTACCACAATACTAAGTTCTAGCTACGCTTCCGATTTCGGTGTTTACAGCTTTCAAGGAATTTCTTCCTTCTGTCCAATCACTCTTCCATTTTTAATATTTGCCAATAAGTAGTCCAGGGTTAGTTGAAGTATTTTGTAGAGAAGGGCTATAATGCCGAAAACAATGTTATAGGGAAAAAAAATCACAAATTCAGGTGCCTTTTGGGATGAACATGAAAAGAGGGTTGCGTTTTTTTTGGGGGGTGGCGTAATTAGTGTACACCAATTGGGTTTTAAAGGGGCGAGGGCCGGGTGTGCACCCCTAACTATTCACTAACATTAATTTTCGTCTGTGACGTCAATGCTGGACGTAATTAGTTCTTACCATTGTGGGGTTGGCCCCTGACTATTGCTGAGAAGCCACGTCGGGCATTGGCCAGGTCACTCGTGAACCGTATCCAGGCCACGTTGTTCTCGATCACGATGGCCTTGTGATGAAATGAATGTCCGGTCAGCTTCCCGCCATTGACAAGATCTGTTCCGACGTTGGAGCCAGATCCAATCTCCACATAGTCCTATGGATAATATAATTGGTACGAGCATGGTTAGACTCTTCATTTCCATAATGGAGGTGAAAAATAGGTTGATTCGAATCATTACATGGGAGCATTGTAAGACCCCATAATAAACGTAATGTTATTTTCCTGCTATCGTACTATTACCCGGCTCGCTTGAGCCTCCGTTGCTTCATGTACGATAAGGCGATCAAGGGTTGTGAGTGGCATACGTGGATCAAGGTCTTGCCAAAGGGCATTAGTTTCGTCTCAGGGATTCGAACCCTTTTTGTAATTATATTGTACATATATAATGCTAATTATGCTATTTAAGACAATTGTATTACTTAAAAATAAAAGTTGGTGTCATAAATGAATTCCTTGTCATAGAAAACTCTTGAAAAGTCATATTTCCTTGTTTTCAGGCTTCCTGGATTAAGATTAGCAATATTATTAAAAATTGCACATATGCTAATTAGATGATTATGCTAATATGGCTATTACAAAAATTGCCCAAGGTTGCCAAGCTGGCAACCAAGCTGAATTTACTTCAATAACCATCTAGAACACAAATCAACAAAAAAAACTTTTACTTAACAACTTGTCCAGGTCTGAAAAACTTCTACAGGACTATACCCTGAAAAAACCCAAGTCAAAACATAAAATCTAACATAGCGAAACAGAACAAAAGAAGGAAAAAGGAAAGGAACAAGACAAGAAAAAAAATAAAAAAATGACAAAACAAAAACATAATCCCAAAGTAAAGAGGATAACCATTGAACTTAATATGTCAACAAATTTATTAACTAATAACACCAAAAGAGTATGATCAATATAAATAGGCTACCGAAAACCAAATAATAACATACTTATTCGGCCTATTTCCCGCACCAATCAAACAATCAATAAAGAAGGTTCCTACTAATGTATCAATCGACCGACAGACCAGACATTTAACCAACCATGTTACCAAAATAAATTCCTTTTCCACTCGTGCATTATTTAAGCGACCACAACAGTGCATAAACTACTGATAGACAGAGTACTCTTATCAATCATTACTGTCATCATCATTGGGCTCAAAAGTGGACACGGGGTCGGATGTAATCCCTACATCTGTCCCTGTTTTACCTACTAAGTATGAACCCTATTTATTTTTTCGGAATTATAAGCCCCATACTATGGGAAAGCTATATTTTGGAATTACGAACCATCAGAATGGTGAAACTTCGGGAAAAGAACCTACCTGATTAGTCTCAAGCTCGAAATCTCTGAAGGAGATGCCGATGCATCGTCCTGGTACGATCCTGATTATCCAATCACATTGCATGTAGTTACCGTACGGCTCTGGATACGATGGTGACGTAATCGTCTGCTCCTCATCAATTTCCAGCCTGACCGTGCCACCACAAGCTGGAAATGTGGTCGTTATTTTGTTCACCAAAGAAAAAACAACAACAACGTTTATGATTATAACGACAATAACAGTAATAATAATTATACAAATTACAATAACAATAACAAGACCAATAATAATACAAATTATACTTATACTAATTACTACTACTGATAATAATAATAAAAATGATAATATCGGAAGGCGTAACTATCACTAATCGTCAAAATATCATCACTTAAATGTTTTGATTTTGTTTGATACTCTTCCGTTTCAACGACACAAAGCGATTTCACAATGCCTCTGGATATTGCCTCACAATGCCTCGCAATATTGTCTCCTCAGTCCTCCAATTTAATATCTAGTCTCTTTGTTCCATCATAAGTTATTATTATTATTATTCAAAATACTACTCGTTTAGGTTTGTTTGATAATCTTCAATTTCAAAAGCATTCTAAACGACAGGTAGCGATTTTACAAGGGCTCTGAATACAAAGATTGCCTCCTCATTATTAATATTTGTCAAATTTGTCAAAATTATTTGTAAAAAGAGTGTTTTGTTTGATAATCTTCCCTTCCAACATAAAAATATGAAAGACAGGTAGCAATTCTATAAGGGCTCTGAATCTTCCCTAGACTCTCCAAAATCTGGAAAAGGTTGTCACAATTAAAATATACAACAATGGTTCTATTTTGTTTATACTTTCTTTTCATTTGATTTAAAGCATGAATCTTCTCTTTTTTGTCATGTATTTTGTCCTACATTTGTACATACAAATATGTACAAATAAAGAATAAAATGCACAGTATACAAGGGTTTCTTTTTTCAAGTCACAGTGCAGTTAGAGAGACATAACTTAAAATAGTTCCCAACACTTACTAAGCTTAATAGTTGTTAACTAAATAGGCTATGCGTTCATTTAGAGTATGTAGTGACCTAGCAACAGTAAGATTATTTATGAACATGTGCACTTTTTCTTGTGTGTTTAATGTATGTTCCACACAATAGAAGATCGAAATGGAGGCCATTGCACAAGATCAATAGAATATTTAATAATACAATGAATGTCTTCCGTACATGCATTTATTTTGTCATACATTTGTACATACAAATATATACAACAAATAAAGAATAAAATGCATAGTATACAAGGGTTTCTTTTTCATGGCACAGTGCACTTAGAGAGACATAACTAAAAATAGTTCCCCAAAACTTACTAAGCTTAATAGTTGTTAACTAAATAGGTTATGCGTTCATTTAGAGTATGTAGTGAACTAGCAACCAGTAAGATTATTTATGAGCATGTGCACTTTTTCCTTTGTGTTTAATGTATGTTCCACACAGTTGTATTACATGTATAATAGAAAATCGAAATGGAGGCCATTGCACAAGATCAATAGAATATTTATTAATACAATGAATGAATTCCGTACATGTATTCCTGGCGTCGGGGAAGGGGCTTTTGGCAAGATTACCAGGATCTATGGAAACAGATTTAAAAAAAGACAACGAGTTAAAAATACGTATACAAATATCACACAGACTTCTTTCATATTAATACAAAAATGTGTCACTTCAATACCCCGGACCAAACCAAATTCCATGAAACACTATTACTGGAGCATCCTGATCTAAAATGAGTACGACTGAATTAAGAAATCAGGCAATTTATTTATTTTCACTTTTCTGTTTTTGACTAGGAGTACACAATTATACTTTACGATAAAATTATGTTTAAATAATAATGATCATGTATTGCTTTCATGTATTTGGTGCGAGGCGTTAGATGATTTGGATGAACAATTACCCTGTATGTTTTTAAATACATGTCGATTATAATCCATCCCAAATTGTCCATCAAATACAATGACAAAAACACTCAAATTAATCCCCTTGAGTTATACGCCACATGTATGTAGATTTCTATTGCAAAAAATTCGTCCCTGTTTTCACGAAGTGACGGTAGAGCGCGCAACTAAAAGAAAGTTAGTTTTGAATAAATCGCTTTCAAAGTTTCAAACCATAATCTCAACCTCTTTTTATCAAAGGTAACTCAAGTTTATATCCTGGGATAGAACATATCTCAATGTTTAGTTCTATGTTTAATTATTTCCATAATTTCTTATATTTTTGGGGGAAATGAGCTGTCAACATAACCGTCATTTCGTGAAAACATGAAATTCAAGGACGCGCTATGATTTTGTTTTCACGAAGTGACGGTTCGTAGCTGCGCGCGTAAAACATATGGGATTTTTCTCTCGTGGATGGAATTCCCGAAATGGACACTAAATACGGTAAAATGTTTTGTTTAATTGATGTACAGATAAAATAATTCAAACTGTGAGAAAGAGTACATTTTCCTCTTTCTGTAGCTGCTTTTTCATTTCTCTGTGTGAACTGTTAACACATCCGTCATTTCGTGAAAACACAAATTGCATAGAACGCTTTGATTTTGTTTTCACGAAATGACGGCTCGTAGCCGCGCGCGTAAAACGTATGGGACTTTTCCCTTGCGGATGGAATTCTCGAAATGGACACTAAATACGGCATTATGTTTTGTTTAATTGATGTACAGATAAAATAATGCAAACTGAGAGATAGAGTACATTTTCCTCGTCTGGTAGCTGTTTTTTTTTAATTGATAGGAATAAACTCAATGTCTCTGTATGAACTTTTAACTTAACCGTCATTTCGTGAAAACACAAATCACATAGAACGCTTGGATTTTGTTTTCACGGAGTGACGGCTCGTAGCCGAGCGCGTATAAAACATATGGGATTTTTATTGTGTGAAGCAATTTCATGAGATAGACACTGAAATACGGAAAAATTACTCGTTTAATAGATGTATGGATACAATAAGAGCACCTACTCTTCTTTGTATAATTATGATGTTAGATGTATGATGTCAGTTTTTGTTCATGAAGCTACGGCCGGCAATAAATCAACTATCAATAGCACAGATGGATATTTGCACAACCAATTTTGTTTCTACTAAGTGCTTTTAAAATGATTAATAGGCTATTCTCTTTAATCTTAATCTTAAGCTAAAAATGGATATGTATTTAATATTCTTTGAGGTTTAATTATCAGGAACATTGTATGTAGTAGGGACTAAAGATTGCACTAAAGTTACTATATACTTTCCAATTAAGAACACGTTCAAGTAGTCTCTCTCTCTCTCTCTCTCCCTTTACCCCCTCCATCTCCTCTTAATATCACACAAATTATGCCATTTCTTGTTGGAATTCACGCGGGTGATATTAGGGCTTTTGCTACTCTATTACTCTGAGGAATTTTTAATATTTTAGAGAGGGGCCTAGCTAATTATATTTTTCCACATAGGAAATAAAGCAAATATGTTAAGAAATATTTTTGAATGCAGGAAATAGATTCAGTATTGATCATTGACCATAATCTGTAGTTAACTATTCAACTCTACAATGTCAACACGGAAAATGAATTTAGACTGAGCAGTTTTAATTCAAACATTTGGAACCAGAACAGCAAGTGGAAAATGGAGCATAAATTCAAAAATATTAAATAATTCATACCAAACATATCATCATCAATTATCATCAATACTGTATTGCATTTTGATAAGTACATTTATGGTTTTGTTGTAAAGACTCATCAGATACACATTCACGGAATACGAAGGTTATTTCATTCATTATACAGTACTTGTAAATATGCTAAAATGTCTTTATCTAATTCTTTATATATGCCCTGGTTATCATGTTTATGCAGCAATCTTAGCGAGTAAATGCCACATGTGACATACAAAATGCTCGACATACATGTACTACATGTATCATGAAGTTTTTCAATGGGAACAATGAATATAATCATCATCGTTACTTTTTTGTTCATCACTGTTTTTCATAAATATCTTCTGAGTAGAGTATCAGAACCAAGTCAGTTTACACAATCTCTTTCTAGGGTTTCTCAATAAAATGTAGTACACAGTCTCAAACGCTAATCTCTGACGTAATCTCTGACTAAACAATTATCAGCTGAACAATGCATGATAAACATGGAAATATCAATTTGACTAAACAATTTCATTTCTCATCAAACAGATACAATTCAATACAGCAACATTATATTGTATGATTATAGGATAGTTTGAAGTACCAAATACAATTATGATGAGAATGACTATAGAAGTAACAAATTAAAACATTAAATGTGAACTAGTAACATTGCGTTTTGACAGAAAAACCAATTGTGGAAATGTAACTTATATTCATATTCTAATGAAGGCATCAACCTAACCTACATCAACCCCTGTAAATACAAACATTTTAGAGAAAATAGATAAACAAATTCTTCAATACAAAGATACGATATGAGGATCAATGGAACTGGAATCGAAAACTTTAATATGCATTACTGATTGAGGTAGATATACCTGATAGATAGCTGTTCTGAGCTATACATTTGAATATTAAAGATTCATGTTTGCAGGAGTTCATTACAATACTGTAACAGAAAAACTGACACCTGTTCGACCATTCAGTGCATTGTTTTAGAACTCATGGAAAATGTTACCAGTTTGCTTTAAATCAATTCATTGATTTTATAATCAATCCATTTCATTGCGATTACTCGTACACACAATTACAATTATGAGTAGAGTTTGCTTTATTTATGATATTTAAAATGTTTTAAATCAAACAGTATAAAAGAGAGATTGAGATATTGAAACATTGAACCATTGCCAAAACAATCAATGTAATCGATTCTAGTTTCTCAAGCATGCCCTTTAACACAAGTTCTTCAAGTTTCTTCACACAAATGTCATCCAAGCGATAGTGGTTGAAGCAGCGAAGATCCTTGATCTAGACTGTTTGAAAGCAAACGTAAATAAGAGAAAGACAAATCGTACTAAAAAAAAGTCAAAGTAAAAATCAATAGAAAATCATTATCAGAATTTCAATTATGAAAAGGGAAACTTTACAGTGCATTATGATTGGGCGAAATTATTATGTGTAGTTTTGGTACCCACAAATTAAATACTTTATGTGGTATCACCTTAGTATTGGAAATTTTTGTTAAGGATTTAAAAAACTTAGATGCTGACCTCGATAGGACCACTCATTACCTTAACTAAAAGACCTAAGCATTAAAAACAGTTAAATTGTAACTATTGGGAAACAATCAAGAAGGAAAGAAGATACATTTTGACTCGCTCGCAAGCATAGACAATGGGTCATCATCAGAATCGTAATCGGAGCAGTCAGGAGACTTTAAGGGTCACAATGCCAAGTCACACATGCAGCTCTGACTATGTTCGGTGAATTGCTTCAACAGTGTTCGGTGAATTGCTTCAACGTTTCCATACCGCTCCCACTCTTAGATTACTATGCCAAGTCACATCTGCAGCTCTGTGTTCAGTCTCAAGGACCCATCATACCAGCATGTCGGTTCCATGTATTCAATCTAATTTTGTAGAATGAAAGAAATAATTACAAGTTATTTCTTTCATTTGTTTGCAAGCAGAGGTAAGGAAATGAATCCGATATTATATTTTGTATATCAAATTAATTACTAGGCATAACTGACCCCAAACAGAAGTTTTCAATTGCCCCTATTACCCCAAATATAATTTTCCAATTGCCCCTACCAAACAACAACAACCACCAAAATGCACATAACAGTGAGTGTGCTTAGTACTTTGCTGCTAAAGTGTGATTTTCTTGAGCAGATCATGAAACTATTCTCACCTGGATTTGTTTCTGGCCTGTGGCATTCTTGAAAAGTAGATGTATTTTCCCAGTGCTTTCTTCATATAAGTGCATATTGTATCTACTGCATCTGAAATTAAGTGAAAGCAAACACATCATCATAATTTCATTACCACTGAAGTGTAGGTAGTGAGACATGTACATCATCTGGTACGGTGCTTGCTTGGAAAATTCTTTTAAAATACGAAGTGGAGGTGGGCAACATTTGCTGGTATCAAGAACAATTGTTTAAAATAATGTTTGTATAGGGTGAGGGACCAAGGGTACTAAAGTGCTGCCTTTGAATATAACAGACACAGAGTACAGAAAATGAGAGAAACTAAGCTAAACATGTGGACATTGTTCCCAAAAAGGTAAACTACTCATGATTACTTCAGTCTCAAAACAAAAGTATTCCTTTTTCGGATGGTGCAATTCATTCATTTTCAGGGCAGGACCGTATCTAATTTTCAATTGTTAATTAAATGTTCATTCATGTCCTTCTTTGCTTGAAAGGCAAATCATTGAATTCTCTTACAGTTTACCAGGAGGGGCTAAATCCCAGGTCATCTCAGCTCAGCATGATGATAATTTTCATAACTCCATTTGCCCTTGGCCATGTTGATGTTGGCCTTGGGCTTGGAGCCCTGAAGTTTCTTAAACCCCAGGCACGCCATGCAAGAAAGGTCTCAGTCTGGTCTAGATCCTGATCTACTCACTCTAGATTCTAGATTGATGAGTAGTGGCT